CACTTGGATTTTCAAGAGATGATGCTGGTAAATTCTTACCATATTATATTACAAATGGAATCTTGAAAGTTGATCCATTCTAAGTTTTGGATAGATAAGGAGTAGGAAAGATGGTTGAATTAGCTGTTAAGAATGGAAAATCAACAAATCCAAATTTGAAAGTTGGTATTTGTGGTGAACATGGAGGAGAACCATCATCAGTTGAATTCTTCCATATTGTTGGATTAGATTATGTCAGTTGCTCACCATTCAGAGTTCCAATTGCAAGAGTTGCAGCAGCCATTGCCAATTTAACCAATCCATGAGTATTTCATTAAAAAAATATATAAATATTTATTAATTCAAAATGTCTGATGTTGACATAGAAGACACAATAAACAGAATAAAAAATCACAAATCAGTTTAAGGAATTGTGATTGTAAATAGTGAAGGTGCTATTACTAGGACTACTTACTTAAATGAGAAAAAGGATGAAGGTAATATTAATAATCATCTCAGGTGATACAATAGCTAAGTCTATTCCAATTTTGGCATAAAAAGCAAGATCTTTAGTTAGAGATTTAGACCCAACAAATGATTTAGCATTCTTAAGAATAAAATCAAAATAAAATGAAATTCTTATAGCTCCTGATAAAGATCTTTTATTAATTGTTATTTAAGGACCTAAAAAATAAGGAGAAGATGATTAATGATTAATTAAATAAGTATACAATTTATTTATTTAAATTTATAAAATATGAATTAAAAATATTGGTGGATAGAGCAATTATAAATTATAATTTTCATAAAATATTATTTATATAAATTCTAATTTCTTTAAAATAAAATATTATATCTTTAATGCTAAAAAAATTTATTGTTGAAAATTAATTCATATAAATATTATTTTTTGTTTCATCATTAAGAATTAAAGTATCAAGCATTATTAAAAATTAAATTATTTCATAATTAAAGAATGCAAATATTTTTTAATTTGATAAGTTTTTAAAAATTTCATTTTCAAATCACCTGATTTACAGTTTCTTTGTTTAAAAGGCTTTAATAAATTATTATATAATAATGTCTAAATAAAACCTAAGCAACTACATCAAATTTTTAAATCATCTCACAGAATTAGAACAAAAAGGTCTTCTCACTTCAAAGCAAAAACACCTTTTGAAAGTGAATCTAACAACTAAAGAATAAATATTAGATAAATTGATTTGCTCTTTTGATGATGAGCAGAATTATTAAGACGCCATACTTTAATATCTAAGTGCTATAGAACCATAAACTAAGTTTAGATGTCATTCTTCTGGAGAGAGTGAGACTCCAATGAAGTTTAGAAAAAGGCATAATTCTCATTCTAAAATTACTTCTTTTAATGAGTCTAAATTGATTGCCAATTTGGATGAGCTAAATGATCAATTAATGAATATTTGGTAATCAGATACTTAGTTTGTAAGATTATATTCATAATTTCTAGCTCTTTAATCAAGAAATTAATGAAAAATTAAGAAAAGTAGGAGAATTAATAAATAAAACAGCTACTTCTACACCATTTGGATCTTAAAAACAAGTTATTAGTAATAGTGAGACTATCTGTTTGATTGATAGTTTAAGATCTCTTTATAAAGACATGAAAGTAAAGATTATATTTAATTAAGCAACATTTTAATGATTATTTACGTTGTCATATTTTGTTGATGGATGATTAATTTACTACTGAGCATTTATATAAAGTCTTAAGAGCATTCATAAAAAATTTAGTTGATGCAGATGAAGTTACATTCATAATAAATAATGAATTATATACATCTAGAACTGAACAATTTCAAAATATTATAATTACAGAATAATAATAATAAGAGATCAATCTAATTCAAGATAAAAAACTAATTGATTTATCATAATTCTATCCTGAATTGGGAGTCCTTTTTTAAACTAATTAATATAAAGGTAATTATGCTCTTAAGATTTCAAATTCTTCTTGTATTTTTTGTTTTCATTAAAAAGGAGAAAAAAATATCATTATAGATTCTTTTCTATCTCTTTGTAATGAATATTAATTCTTTGATGAAGTAAATTAATTAGCATATTTTTTATTGGAAACTATTAAATAAGCTAGAGTTTAATGTTTTAATCCATTATAATTATCACATATGATTTAAGATATTGGAATAGCATTTATTAGATGTTCTAAATATATATTCATTTAAAAAGTGATTGAAATACTTTAAGAAAGATATTAGGTTTCTAAAGAAAACACTTCATTTTCAAGTGGTTAACCTTTTATTGAATTTGATTTTAGAGATTCATTAAATTTGTGTATATATATTTGTATGGATTTGAATAAAACAGAGGAAATGAATGTTTATAAATAATTGAATTTGAGTTACAATAAATACTTAAAGTTTATTAAATAATGTTATGATAGAACAACATTTTATAAATTCTTTGTAAAATCTTAAGACTCTTTAATATTTGAATTTGATAAATAGGGTTTAATAACATTTGTTTCATAACCAATAACTAATAAATTAGCTAATGATTTTGGTATAAAATTTAATCCATAAATGTTTAATGCATCTTATAAGAGTATGTTCAAAAATAAAAATTTACTATAACATATAGAGAATTAATTATAAGAATAAAATTAATGGAAATTAACAGATAGTAATTCTACATATGAAGTATTTATGAAAATGGAAGAGAAATATTTCAAAGGATTTTTTGTAATATTTTAATAAGGATGGTTTAGATATGATTAGAAAGAATTTGATGCAAGTTAATGGAATAAATTAAGGAAAAGTATTATGCTATCAGAAACAAAATAATATTTAGATAAATTGGAATAAAAACATCCATAATTAAAAAATTCAGTAGTTCAAATGTTTAAACCTAAATCAACATAAAAATAATCATTATTTAAAAATTTTAGTCCAAATTTCAGTCCAAATCATTTAGATTAAAGAATTTCTCTTAAAGAGAGTGAAAATGATAGGAGAATTCCTAAAACAAAAGGAGTGAATCACTTTTATTCAGATATGATTACAGATACTTGTATTGAAAATATAAATAATTTAAATTTTAATATAATACCATATAGTAGTGATTGGTTAGAGAAATAGAAAGTAGTATTTTAAATATTAAGAATAAATAATTTTATTGAAGATTATAAAATAAATGAAACAGCACTTTGCAATTTTTTATGTGCACTTGAATATAAATATAATAAAAGTGGAAATAAGTTTCATAATTATGATCATGGTGTTACTGTAATGTAATGTTCTCATGCAATAAGTTTAGAGATGATGAAAACTAAACATGCTAATTTGTTAACTTAATTTATTAAATTTGCTTTAATATTAGCAGCATTGTGTCATGATGTATCTCATACAGGAAGAACTAATACATTTGAAATTAATAGTCTATCAAATTTAGCTATTAGATATCATGATAAAAGTGTATTGGAATAACATCATGCAGCAACATCTATCAAATTATTATGTGCATAATCTACAAATATTATTCCTAATTTTAATTCAGAAGAATTTAGAGATTTTAGAAAATTATTTATATCCAATATACTCTTTACTGATATTACTGAACATTTTAATTTGATGAAGAGTTTTGAAGCTCGTATTTAAGAATTAAATTTTGGAACAGAATAAGATGTAAGATTAATGACAGGCATGATTATTCATACATCAGACTTTGCTGGTGGAGCTAAACCATTCCCTATAAGTAAGGAATGGAGTATTAGAGTAAATAAGGAATTTTAAGACTAGTATAATTTAGAAGGTAAATTTGGTTATCCTCAATTACCATATATGAAAGATTTAGATTAAGTATATTAATATTTCATATTAGTTACCAATTATGGCAAAATCAGAAGTGGGATTTTTTAAATTTATTGTTAGACCTTTGTGGGCAGTGATGTCAAAATTTATTGAAGATCGATTGTAAGAGAGTATTGATAATCTTGATTATACAATTATTGAATGGGAAAAATTAATGATTAAATGATATTAAATATAAAAAAATGTCTGTTATTAGAGAATTGAGTCATTAAAAGAGAAATGTCGTTTTAGAATTATTTGGAACATCAAAAAGAAGAATTGAATAAAAAGAAAATGTATAATCTCCTATCAATCGTCCTTCTAAACGATTTAACTATCCATAATCTAGTAATGCTAGTAAATTATTATTATTCCAAATCCTCAAACAGACATCTTCTATTAAATAACCTCCATATAAGTCTTCAAAGAAAAATAATGAAAGCACAGGATTAAATGAAAGCATATGTAGAAAAGTATCCAATTATTCTTAAAATAAAATAGAAAATATTACATATTGATATTTAAGAACCAAAAACATATATAAAATAAGTTATTTCTCCTTATAGAGATTTTCGATCATAAGTCTCATTTGAAATTGCCCCTTAAACTTGTGTGGCAGTTCCTCGAAAAATTAGTCAACCTTAATAAAACAATATATAAAGAAATTCTGTTCGAAGATCTAATAGTTTTAGAGATCTTTTCAAAAGTTAAATAACATTTGGTTGATACATTTAACAATATTGAATACTTAAATTATAAATATATCATTTTAATTTCTTAATATCCTAAAATTCCTCTAAATCATCAACATAAATTTAATAATGTCATAAATAAAAAATTATTTTTAATAAATAATTAAATACAATTACTACTTTATACATATTGAAAAATATTTCTAATAACCTAAAATATAACTCTCAAATATTCAAATATGAAATTTCTAATTTAGTTTTTACTTTAAATCAATATTTACAAAATTTTGACAGATTACATCTTAATTTCAAAATTTAAATATAATATTCTTAAAATATATTCATTAATTCTATAATTTATTAATTTTGATTAATTATAAATATTAAATTTGATTTATATATTTAATTAAGTTGAATAGATTTATTAATATAATTATTTAATTAATATCTTATAAATTAATAATATATATATAATAGTACTTATAAATCATTTTCCTACTATTTATTTTAAATTAAACATAAACTCCAATTTAGCTAACTTTACATGAATATCAATTCTGAAAAATAATTTTCTTAAAATAATATCTTATTATCTTCTTTTAATATTTGATACTTTATCATTATTTTATTGTTTAACTTAAAGTTGAAATTATTTTATTGGAGACATATTAGTCTTTTTTATATTTGGTTCAATACTATTAGATCTTAAAGATTATGGAATTTATGATGTTGTTTAAACTTTTACTAATACTGGTTCTTTGCTCTTTTAATTTGAAAATGAGTTTAAGTTAATAATATCTAATAATTAAGCAACTGGAGTACGTTTACTAGGATCTTCTAAAATAGATTAGTCAATATGATAAACAGCATTACTATTGTTTAGAGACTCTTAAATGATTTATTCTTTTTGATAATAAACTTCTGGTGCAACAATTTAAGTTTCAATTTATAATTGCTTAAATCTATTTGTATCAATGCTTGAACCTCTAGCACTGCTATCTCTTCTACTTCTTAAAGGAGTAAAATTCTTTTCTGGTCTTAGAGCACTACAATTAATTGGTTAAACTTTAATACGAGAAATAGCTTATTTTTACTCTGAAAAAGTCATAGAAGACTTATTATCAAATATTGGTTATTTAACATCAGATAATTAATTGACTTTTCTTAAAATTCTTGAATCATCCATTTAAATAGGTAATAATTTAATTAATTATTCTTCATTATCTTTTTAAGCTGATTCTATTTTAATTGATTCAGAAGGTTCTTCAATTTTCATTACTTAAACTATTCTATCTTCAATTAATTATTCTTCTGAATTATTATTATTTAAAATAGTGATTATAGGTTTTTATTCTTTTTCATTTAACTTTTATGGTGAATCTACTTTCTTTTCAATTATGTTATCATTTTATTTTTCAGTCAAAACATTATTCATATTTATTTTATTATTAAACTATTCAATATCAGGAATAATTTCTATTTTTTATATATTTTCTTATTCTTATTCTTATTTTTTAAATAAATTTAATTTTGTAGGTTTTTTGTCTATTGGCTAAACTGATATTTAATCAAAAATCTACATTATATTTGATATTTTATTGTTATCTTGTTTTTTTTCATTTTATAAAATTTACATAAAACTATCTTATTATTGATCAATAAAATCACTATTACTTTAATAATCGATAACTGATTGTTATTCCATAACTTCAACTGTTTTTTTTTATTTTGAATTTTGAATTGTATCTATTTTCAAAAATGATTTTATTTATTTTTATTAAATTTCAGGTATTATAGTTTATGATTCAAAAGGTATAAATGAAGATGTTGATTCTTATTCATCTTTCTATGTTTATGACTCTAAAACTTAATCTAATGATTTTTCTGGTTTTAACTATAATTTATTAATTAAATTATTTAATTTTGATTAAACAGGAGGTAAATCTAAATCAGGAATCACAACTTTTTATAACTAAGTAGGATTATCTTGAATTAATATAGGTTAAACAATTTCCTTTTAAATTTATTAATTTTTTAATTATTCTAATCTTTTTTAATTTTATTTAATTTCTGTTTTAGTTTCAAAAATATCATTAATTAAAAATGCTTATCGTTTTAAATATAATTTTCCTTTCTCATCATCATCTTAACAAACACTCTATTCAAATGAACTCTCTTCATCCAAAGTATATAAACTATTATTTTATGTTTTAAATCTTGGTTAATCATAAGTTTCTCTAATAGATTACAATTTTTAATTTATTATTTTTTAAGATGGAATTATTATATTTTATATCTGTTCTACATGAGTATTCTAATCTTTATTTTCTTAACTTTTTTCTAATTCTTTTTATATGTATTCTTCATTATTTGGTTTTATTTGTAAATCAAATTATTTTTTATATTATTCAAGCAATTTAGATGGTTTAATTTTTATTTCTTCTTATTCTATATTTATATCTTCTTTATTTAAAATAATTTTTTGTTATTCTTATTCTTATACTGATTATTATTATTATTTCTCAAGTTGTGGTAATTTAGTTATTTCAAGAGGAGCTATAATATCTGACTTAGATTTTTAGTTTCTTTTATAATTAAAAGTTGTATCTATAGAAAATTAATTGATTTCTTATTTCTTTTCAGAATTATATTCTATTTCTCTTGTTTCTTATTTGTTTGATCTATCAAAAAAAGATTCAAGTATATTATTATTTGTAGATTGACGAAATCTTGATTCTGAAGATAAATCATCTTTTCTATCATATCTATCTGTTAATTTATTAGTAGTATCAGATCTTTCAGTTTTATCACCTTTTACTTATCTACTTTGTCTAATATCTTAATTTCTTTTTTTAGATGGAGGATCCCATTAATCAAAAAGTTATTATTTTAATGTAGACACACTACTTTTACAAAATGTTCTTTCTAAAACTGATATAGATTAATCATTTTAATTAATTTTCTAAATCATTTTTAATTAAGCACAACAAAATTAAGAATAAATATCTGAATATATAAACTTTATTTCTTAAAATTCCTTTCTTTTACAATTGATTGTAATTTCATTTCCATAATTCATCTTTTTAAATAAAGTCTAATTCACATAAAATTAATGTGTTGAAAAATCATCTAAATTCCATTACAAAAGAGATTTTCCTTATATTGCAAATATAAATTTATTATTAGCACTAATATCTTCAAGATTATTGATTTTTAATTTAATCATTTTATTTGTATAACAATAAGCATCTCCATTTTCTGTTATAGCTATACCACCAAATTAAAATAATAAAGATTTCTTAAAATATCCATTAATTCCTAATCCATTTAATTATTGAATTGGTATTTAAGTATCATTTTCAATATTAAATATTTTACCACCAACTAATAAATATATATATATTTTTATCTACTTGTAATTAAAGTAAGTTTTTCTTTGTAAGTACTTATATGTTTACAATGACTATATATTGTTTTATTAGTTTTCCACCAAAATCCTCTACCAGAATGATCTATTGCAGTTGTTGGAGTAATAGTCATATAATTTTTGCCTTAAACTAATTGCTTAGGTTATGAATCAATTGAATATAAATCTCCATTATCTTTAAACAATATATTAATTTGTACTCATTAAACAATATATTACTTTTCCATCTGAACTAATTTGCTGGACTCCTGAAAGTACATTGATTGCTTCTTACTCAGTAAATTGTGTAATCTAATCATCACTAACTACTAGTCTTTTTAAGTTGTGGTTATTTATAAAATAAAGCTAAGCACCCAACTTTATAGCTTAACTAAAATTGAATCTAAGTGATTAGATATTCTAAAGTTATCATTAAAAGTATACATCCAACTAATCAAAAATAACAGACATATTTTATATTCGTTAATATTATAAATTATCAATAATTAAACTAATTCTTATTATTCATAAATTTAAGTCAATTTTACTTCCATTCTTAAATCATCATTATTTATGAATTTAATAGTTAATCATTATGTTTATTTTAAACAATCAATAATTTTATAATTTTAATATGATTTTTATAATTAGATTTATATAATATTTATAAATAACCTAACTTTCTAATTAGAATTATAGCATAATGATGATTATAGAAAATTTGATAAATTATTTAAAACTCTAAATTACACTATAAATTAAAAATCCATCAATATTACAATAAAAATAAGTAAAAAACATAAATATTTATTCAAGTAAATTATTTTTGATTTCAATTCTAAAATTTATTAGAAGTAAATAATGAATATTAAACGATTTACATTTAACAAAATCTAAAATCTTTAAGAATTATTTCTTTCTTTTTTGTCTAGTATTTCATTTATGATGAATTCAATAAAATATTATTAAGAAATTATAAAAATATTAAAATGAATTCATTATTGGAACTTTTAGATTATAATGATGAAAAAGAAAAGGAGATCTTTGAATTGTAAATATCGCATGCTATTCAAGCCTTAATTCAAATAAAAATAATATGATGGATTTTTTGAAATTGGTAATCTAGACCCCTAGTGACTTACATCCAAAGTATGTCTAAATACTTTAATTAGATATCCATTCATTGTTAGTGAATTAATGTTTGGAAGCCATGAACAACTATTATAAATGATGTTTGAATGGGATGGAGAACCAATTTAATATTTGCTGACATTCTTCAATTATCCATAAAATGACACTTCATGTGGTTATTTTGAAAAAATGATAAGACCATTAATTTTATTAAAATCAAATGAAATAAAACCCTTTTTAGAGATTTCTAAATGGATTTAATTTATTGATTAAGAGTCAATTCAAAATATATTTTAAACAATATTTGCATGCAATAATCTGGATGAGAATTATAAATAAGATCTGTTGGGAATACTTTTAAATTAAAACAATATTAATGAGAATGTATTTAGATTAATAATTAAACACACAGACTTATTGCAATAATATTTGAATCAACATTAAGAAATTGTTGGAATAATATGTAATCAATCACCCCCTAATTTATATTAATTATACACTATAGAAATATTTATGGGATGGAACATACTTAATTTATAATGGCTTCATAATTAAATTAATTATTTGGATTAATTAGTCTATAGAAATTTTGATATATGTAATTCAACAATGAATTTTCTTTATAAACCATAAGGACTCACAGAGATTGATTTAAAAATCATTCACATATTATCATAAACATTAACTAGACCAGAGACAATCAAATTTTAAAATATATTATTAGAATTGTTAATCAAATATGAATGGAATAATAATTTGTAAAATATAGCTGTAAAAATGTATGAATCAATGTCTTAAGAGGAAACACCTCATAAATAATATGTATTTTAATATTTTGATATTTAGTTTCAATCCATAATAATTGATTTCATAACAAATAATGTAAGTTTTGAAAAATTTGAATTCGGATTAAAAACAAAAGTGTAAAGAGGTTACAGATGGGTTTTTACTAGAATTGTCAAATACTTCTAATTAAACTTTGATTAGGCTGAAGAAATTACAAATTTGGAAGGGAAATTTTTATTAAATGAAGACCCTTCTAATAATAAAGATAGATAATTTCTATTTATTCAAGAGAAGGTATTAGAAGGAAGGACATAATGGGCAAGGAAGATATAAGAGGAAGAAATATAAATTAAAGAGGAGAAAGAATAAAATCAAATGGAAGTAGAGGAAGAAAATAATGAGAATGATTAATTTTTTTAACCAAGAAATAGTTTTGGTATAAAACCAACAAATAATGAAGAAGAAGTAGAAGATGAAATACCATTTAGAGGAAGGTCTAGTTGCCAATTTAAATAAGATGATTTAGATTGATTTGCTAATTTTTGTTTATTTTTAATATGATTGTCACTAAATATTTAATGAAGCTCAAATTGTAATAATCAAAATTTAATTTGTTGGGAATAGATTTAGGTACAGCATTCACTGGATTTAGTGTAACCTACAATCTATAATAAGTTTTAGTATATGATTTGCATTATAGTCCATGCTATTCACCACATGATTCGACATTATATAAAAGAATTATATAGATTATAAATAAGGAAAAGATTGGAGGAGTTTTAATTGGGAAACCTTAATTTTAAAAAGGTTATATAGATGAATTTACATAAGGCTTAGAAAGTAATTTAATAGCTGAAGGATTATAAACATTTATTACATAAGTTGGTGAAGATTATACAACTAGTAAAGCAAAGAAAATATCTAAAACAAATAATAAATATTTGCATGATGGAATGGCAGCCATGCTTATTTTATAATCATTTTTAAATGAATTATGAATATTAATTTCTATTTGATAATATATATTATTAATATATTAGTTATAACAATTGCTCAAATTAACCTATTAATCACAAATATGATCCTTAATATTAAAAGATAGACATCTATTATAAGTATAAAATAAAGATTTAATTGATAAATAGAATTCATAATCAATTGACAATATTGTCTAATAATAAGAATAATAACATTTTATAGGTAAAACTAAAATTAGTATAAATAAGTACAATATTAATATAAGTATAAGCAGAATTATAAAGATAATACAATTTAATTCTTAAAATCAATAACAATTAAAATATATTTTTCAGCAGTAATCTGGTACTCTTATAGAGTTAACAGATTTTAGTTTTACATATTCATCAATTTCGAGAGACATGTCTTCAACCTATAAATTGTAACCTTCTAATGAATCTAAATTATATAATTAGAGACTAGCTGCTTTTGCTGCTCTACTTTATATTCTTTTTGGAAGAGAAGGTAATTTTTAGTTAATTACTTTTGTGTTATTCATAGAATATGATTTTTGTCTGGATTATGTTACCTATAAATCTTCTCTACTTATTTATTTTGATTTTTGGTTTGCCAAACTAATTAATTTTTCATACTTTTTCCTTTCTTTTTCTTTAAAGTTATCTGGAGAAATTTTAGTACAATTGATAGGAGAAAATTTTAGAAAGTGTTCACTCTTTTATTTACTTGATGGAGTTATTTTCTTTAAATTTCTACATCCCCATTATTGACCATATCTCATGGGAATTACAACAATATTTAATTTCTTCTGACTATCCTTTTACATCTCTTTCAGCATTAAATCATAAATAATTTATTTTATGCTTTTTTGTTATGTTTTCATAGGACTTTGCATATAATAATAAATTATATTAAGACTTATTAATTGATTAAATAAAATAACAAATGAATTAAGAACAAGACTAACATTAGCCAAATTAGTAATATAAAAATCCATTAGAAGAACAATTGCATTACAAAACTTATTCTAGATTAATGAGTGTTTGTTTTGCCTTTTTTATATTCTTAGGAATATTGTAAACATATCATATATTCAAAACTAAAAGAGAAAGAGTATTGACATTTTTATGAAAATTTTTCATGTTAACAATTTACATATATATTTTTCAAATTGATTTCTTGTATTACAAAATAATAAAATGCTTTTTTTTATAAATTAAACAATATAATTTTATTTATAATTTTTATATTGTGATTTTTCATATCTTTGAAAATTTATTACTTTTATTTATAATTTTACCTATTTTTAATGCAACACTTTAATTAATAGTAAGTTTACTTTTTTATTCTTTGCTACTTCTTTAATTTCTCTTCATTCTTATATAAAATAAAGAATATAATATACTTAAAAAGCACAATAATTATATTATATTCAGGGTAGTAAGTATCAAAATCTTAAATTCTATCTAAATCAACTTTATAGATATCCTCTATACATATATTCTTGTCATATTAAATATATACCTCATTAGCTAAATTTAAAAATTCAGTGACAGTAGGCAAACTTGGATTTTATAGTTTAACTATAGGACTTGGATTACTTGATAGAGTAGGTATGATTTTCAAAGAATTACCCTTATTCAGTAAGTTTGATATTTTCATATCAAAAATATTCTTAGATTAAAGTTTTTATTATTTTGATTATGAAGTTGGTGACATCATTTCTTGATATGGTAATTCTTTCTATCCACTTTATTTCATATTCTCATTACATAAATCATATAATAATAAATTGCTTGAATCTCCATGAAATTTTGATTCTCTTTTATCTAAATTTTATTCTAATTCACTAGATGATTACTAATTAAATTCAGAGGAAATTTCATCATTTGAAACATGATTTATTTACATTTAAAATAATTTCTTAAAATGATTTCGAAATTAATCTTAATTTCGTTTTCTTCTTCTATTATCTATTAGATATTAATTATTTATTACATGATATTCTAGATTAATCTGGAGAATAAAGATATTAATCAAAAAAATCAATATTCTTTTTTATTAGATGTAGTTTTGGGCAATTGTTTATTATATGTGTCTTATCTTAACAATATAGACAAACTGAATCTATTATTTAATAATTATTATTAAATAAAACTTAATCCTTAATAAAAGTAGCTATTTCCTATTATTATCATAATTATTATACCAAATCTTATACATTTGATGAAATTATTTTTAGAAATTTATCTCTACTTAATTTATAAAGGAGGCAATAATCTAAACATGTTATCAAATTCTTATTCTCTTAACCAGTAAAGAAAGAATATTAACCAAAACATTGGCCACCAAAAATTTGATGATATTCTGGTAATGTGTCTGTAAGACCATATGCAACTTTACCTTAATTTAGAAGATATATATTATATTAGTCACCATATTGATTACAAATTAATTTATCATTTACTTTAAGTATAACTGGAGTAAGATTTTAAGCTATCTATTGTCTAGTTGATTTTGAAAATTTAGAAAATATAGAAAACTAATTTACAAAATTTATTAACTTTTGTTCCTTAAATTCTTAAAATATTTATTCTTTTTCTAAACATTATTCAAAATTATTTTCAATAATTTATGAATTTTTATCCCTTGAAAAAATTTAATCTAACTTTAAAGAAATTTACTATTTTAATGTTTAAGAAATTTTCTATTGATGCAAGAATCTTTAGAGCAGTTTCAGATCTTTAGTTTTTTTGTATTCTTAAAAATAGTCAAGAGAATCTAAAATTATTAGCTTTAACAATAATATTTTATAAAATAAAAGGATTATTATTGTACTCATATTGAAAACTCGATATAATAATTTATCATCTTCTAAATTAAATTTTGCATTTCCTAATTAAAGAATGTAGTTAATATATATCTCTAAGTAATCGAAAAATATTTATTCAACTTCTTTGACTTCTTAATTTATTATATATTCTTATCTTAAATTGATACAAGTAAAAAAGTGACATATAAGTAAGATTTATATAATCTAAATATTTAAATCACTTAATTCATAATATAATCGTTTATTATATGTACAAATTATCTTTCTACAAATTATAAATTTAATTAGTATCAAACAAATTGTCTTAATAGTTTCATCATCTGCAAAAATTAACACAGTAAGGATAGATATTGAAGATATATCCATTAATATTGTTTATGAATTTAAAATGAGTTTAAGAAATTATTTATTATAATTTAACTATTCTTCTTAATATCGTTATGATGTATATTTATAAATCTAATCCAAAATACATAGAACAATCATTGTAATATACAAATATTTCTAGTAAACATTTGATTAGTATATGTATTCAATTGGACTAACAATTAAGAGTAAACTACAAAACAAAAGTATAATAGAATCCCAAATTATATTTAATATTGGATAAAGTGAATTCTTATAAACTTTTTTTCCAGTGTTTAAAGGAGAAAATAATAATGAATTAATAATTTTTTATTATTTGCTTCCTATAGCGAGATGTTATTTTAATTTGTTAATAAATATAATAACCTTTTATTATGTATTCATTTCTGTAATATTGATTTTTACATTTGTTTATTACTTTTGATTTCGAAATTTCCAACTGATTCCTTTAGATTCCTTATGAGCTTTTAAATCAAAAACTTCAAATGCAGGTATCTTATCTTCTTCTACTTAATAGGATGGTTGTCTGGGATGAGTAATTTTCATTTTTTTTCCAACTTGAAATGTATTTTCTTTCTAATCGTTATTTATCCTTGACTTTAGAAATTAAAATACATTATACTTCCATCAGAAGGACTAAGAATTAAAAATTCATTTTTCATTTCATCTTATATCATTTATTTTTAAATAATAAATAAATAATTGTATGATGCTCAATGGTTAATTTTAATTTTTAAACTTCTTAAGAACTGAATTAATGAATATTTGAACTGAATCATAATAATTACTAGAGATTATTTTTATTTATCAAAGTTAAGATTTTATAATTTTAAAGTGAATTATGTATTAAATTGAGTGATATAAAAAATTAACGATAAAAAACTTCCTTGATTAAGAAATCAAAATTATAGTATTTAGACTTGATTATAAAAATAATTGGTTAATAAAAATTCAATATTATCCAATGATCTAATACTACATAATGAATATTAGAATGTACTTTTCTTAGAATTAAAAAAAATAAAATCAAGATTGTTAAGTATCAGACATCAATAAGCATATAGATTATATTAAGCTAACAATTTATTAAATAATTATATTAGCATTTAAATTGAAACTAAAAGACTAAATATCAATTGTATCAAAATAATTTAGATATCTAAATAGTTATTTAAAATTCTATGTATAAATATAAAATATTCAATTTTTGAAAAAGTAAATGTACACCCAAAAAAATTATAATGTTACACTAACATAGAGCAAAACTCTAGATTTATCCTGTTATCTATAAACAATTATTAAAAGCCACAACATTATTCGAATAAATTCAACAAATACTCTGCATAATTTATAGAAGTTTGTATAGCATAATAAATGTAAAATTTCAACAAAAAACATGCAGAGAATATCCAAGATCATTATTCGAAAGTATGGCAATTTTTAGATTATAGTAGTTGTCTTATCAATAACATACAAAATAAGGCCAATAAATAGGTTTAGTCTAAGTAAATGTATATCCAAAAATAAAGGGTAAGAGCTAATTAAAGTTAAAAAAAGAGAACAAACATTATCATTCTTCATCAATGGCCATACTTTCTTTAATCTCATATATGCTATCCCACTCATTATAGTTTAAGTTTAATGGAGGTATAATATGAAAGAACTTTTATAGTTAATTATTTCCTTACATAAGTATTAAGAAATAAATTGATAAACTATGTTTCAGTCCTACATAACAAACAGAATCAAAATGATGATAATCTTAGTTTGCAAGCAATTTTTCAATTGCCTCATAAATTTGAATTATCATTAAAATATTAATTGTATTTATTTTTTTTATGATAAATATACAACCAATATATTCAATTATTTAATACATCTTTCTAATAATATTAAAAGTATATAAGTCTTGAGCCTATATTTCATTAAAACTTAAAATTAATTGACAAATCCGTATATATTAAAAATAATTATTAGATTCACTACAACTGAGTTGTTTATTATATTTCCTCCTTAGTTCTTCTTTTTCTCTTTTATTTAACTTAAATGGCTTCTTTTTTTGCAATATCTTTCCTTATTCTAATAACATTATCTTATTTATTGAGTAACACATTCCAATTTGTTAGAGGATCCTCTTCTTAAATAACCAAAGAATCAAAATAGGATTCATTACATTTGATTCCTAAATTTTACGATAAACTTAATATAGTTCATTTTTACTTTTAAAGTACACTCTTAAACATATTCTTTTCTCTTATCATCTTTTATTTTAATTTAGTGTAAGTGGTTTCTAATTTTATGATATATGTAATCAAATTTGTTTAATCACTCATTTTTATTTTTTATAATAAAATTAAACAAAAAATAGAAGACCAAAATTTGCAAGGTAATTTTTTCTATAATATATTTTTCAATTATGAATTTGAATCGAATTCCTTTAGCCCCTTTAACACCTATGCAAGTATAATAACTTGCTCGTTTGCCTAAAGTACAAAATAATCAAAATTAATTAACTTGTCCCAATACTATTAAAAATAACTTAGAATATAGTAAATGTTCATCAACAAACTATTAATTTAAAATTTATAAGAAAATTGTCTTAGAACTTCTTAATTCTATGTAAATAAAACCATTCTTAGAATTTATATATGGCTTACACTTTGAATTTAAGACTCTTTTTCATATTCATATTTGTCCAACTTAAAGCCTCATAAACTTTTTAAACCTCCATTATGATATTAAATAGCTTTATAAAGTTTATGATAGTATCTATAAATAAAATGTTACAAAAATCAAGATTTATTTGAATATCTCAGAAATCGATCTAATATTATAATTATTGAGGTCCATAGTTAAATAAATGCCTCATATTAGTAGAATAAGAGAGGTTTTAAAGAATTAAACAGTAAGAGATCTTATAAGTATTAAAAACACATAAATTGAAGATCCTAAATTAAATTAAATAATAACTATGATTTAATATATATTTAACTCTTCACTCACTAAAATTAATAGTTAAATCATAGTTAAGAAGGAACTATAGGAAAATATACAAAAAGATCAATCTTTTGAACATATTCAAAGTAATGTTCAGTAAGTAATTATATCCTTGTTTTTATAATATTGTTTGTAAAGTAAAATAATACTTCCAGAAATAATATATTCAATAGTATTGTCAAACACAAATTCTAAGAATTTAACCTTGGATCCAAGTTTTGTTAACGATATTCCAGATTCGAAATAATATGATGAATTTAAAGAGAAGATTAAATATAGAAAATACTAAAGGATTTCTAATTTATAAGGACTTATTGAATATGAAGATCATATAATCTCAGAATTTTAAATCTCTTATCCAATGAAAAATTTAGAAAATGATTTATTATAAACTATAAACTTAGTCCTTGAAAATTATTAATTAATACTAGATAGATTAATTAGAATATTTTCAAGTAAAAGAATTGGTACAACACTTCAAATCTTGGGTTCTAATTCACTAAGTTAAATTGGAATGAAAATATTTAATACTATTCTTGACATTGAAAAAGCTTTGAAAAAAAGGGAAACTATTTAAAAAAAGAGAATCCCTAAAATTAAGTTGAAAATATAAAAAATTTGATATGAAAAAATATAATAGATTATATTATAATATTCATCCTTTTAATTCAGGTAAAGAGCTAATTGCATTTTTCCAAACTTCATACGGTGTCTGCACTTTCTATTGTTATTGTTATTATTATTATTATTATTATTATGATTATTATTATTATGATTATTGTGATTATTATTGTGATTATTATTATTATTGTTATTGTTATTACTATTATTATTGTTATTAAATTTAGTTTGCTTATTGCAATTAGATAGAAAATTAAGTATTGTAGCCTCCTAATCTACTGAATTCAAAATTGGATTTACAGAAACTATTTGAATACTCACATGATAAATTAAAGAATTTATCATATGTTGGTAATTCTTCTTTTTAAATTTGCTTAATTACTGAAAAAATTTACTTTTAATTATATTTTTTTTCTTTCTGAATTCCATAATTATTCATAATGGCTTGGATATTATTCTGGGATATTGTGTTTTTTTCTTTTTTTTAATAATTAATCAGCTTTATTTAATTCACTAAATATTAGCAGGATTTTATTACTTATTTAAAAAATCAGAACTTCTTGATGTTACAAAGAATTTATGAATGAGTTGACATTTGTCTTTTCCAAACCATTAAATTCCTTTTATAAATTATGATACTTCTTTTTAATTTAAATATTCATATTAACTTAGTTTCCATGTTTTAATTTTGTTCATTTAAGCATTACTACAAATTGAGTTTTTATATTTATTTTTAATTTGTTTCAGTGTTTTTTCCCACAAAAATTCCTTTTGAATTGCCTCCAATTTTTTACTTCCATGTTTTTATAAACCCTAGAATAATAAGTCTTCATCAACTGGTGTAAATTTACACCTAACCTTGCTGATTTGATATTGCTATGGCAAATAACTAATTTAAATAAGAGGAATATATTTCTTTAAGATAAGTATTTTATCATCAAAGTTCTTGTTAATATTTTCCAATATTGTTTTAAACTATTTTAATAGAGGCAATTAAAAAGAACTTTATAAAGGAGAGACTTCTATAGTTAGAGGATTGTCATTAAATTAAGACAAATCAATACTGTATAACTATGCATGATCTTGCTTTTCTAACTACTCTAGCATCAATATTGTTTTTTATCTTAAGGCTTCAGATTTACAAAACAAGGCATTTTAAATCAATAATTATACTAAGATTTCATATTAAGCGAAAATTTAGATGATTTAATGACTTTGCACAAGAGTCTAGTTTAATAAAGAAATATACAAACTTTACATCCTGATTAGGTAGGATTGTCTAGTACTTTTATTAACAATATTATAATGTCTTTAAGTACTCTGGCTACATCCAATTAATTTATTTAATTATATAATTTATATAAATAAATTGCTTTGATGGAACAATTATTTTTTTAAATGATTTTATCGCATTTCATTTATACTAAAAGTATTTTTGTGCATTAAGATTCTGTTAGAAAAGTGATAAGAATATTCAATTTTTAAAATTATTTTCAATTTTTGATAGTCTAATTCTAAGCTTTGACACAGAAAGTAGTAAGATTATTAAGTACTTTAATATATTATTAAAATCAGATCATAAATCTAATTACAATTCTATTTTTTTTATTATTTTTAAGATTTGAGATAAAAATGGAATTCAATTGTATTATTGAAAGGGAATCGTTTTAATTAAACGTAAAGGATAGATCATTATAAATTTCAAATAAGTCAAACTAGTACTCATTTGATCTTTCGTTGAAGATTCTAATCACCTGGTTATTTCGTGAAAATGAAATTAATGGGTTTCTATTAGAAAATCTTGTTGTGGAAGGAGATGGTTTAAATATGAAAAAACTTAAATAATTTCTAAGTGGTAAAATTACATTTTCAGGGATTTAAATCTTCTATTTCTTTCATGGAGAGATAAATGTCAATATAAATAAGGCCACAAAAGTATATATATAAAATTAAAAAGGTTTGTACTCTTATCAATAGACAAACGAAATTAAAATTCTCTTGTAAATGTTTTAAGAAAAGTGTATTAGGAATTGAGAAAATTCATAAAGAGATTGAAATTATATAGAAAGCTTCAAAACATGGATTTGCCCCTAAAATTTATGAATGTTTTGAATCAAATAATTGCATATATCTGATTATGGAAAATCTGGAAAGAATATAAGATTAAGAATTTATGGATGATGATATAAGAGTATTTCTATATGTAAATTACTTATATTAATTTAGAATTTGATTTAAACAATTACTTCTCTTCATAAAGAAAATATTGTTCATAAGAGCATAAAGATGTCACACATTTTGTTTAGCGAAGATAATAAGTTAAAATTGGTTGGATTTGGACAAGCTAATGACACAAATATTCAAAATAATGAGTTTAGACTGGATATTTTTAAAATAGGGATGATTATGTATAAATTGTAAAGATTTTATTTATAAAATAGCTACTAAAAATAGAATTTTCAAATTGATTAACTTCCTGTTATTCCAGATGAGGGAAATTAACTAATATAATCTTTATTGGACTGGAGAAATGATTCACCCTTTTAATTGAATTTGTTGTTAAACCACTCTTACTTTAAATTGTTAAAAAATGAAGGAATAAAATTCTGTATAAATATTTTTTCTAATATAGAAATTTAATGTATGAGCCCAAAATTCAAAACATAGGTTTATTAAAATGAGGATGATGAATCAAATTTTTGATAACTATATTTAGAACTTTATAAGTTTTTAATAAATTTGAAAAATTTTCTTCTATTTATTTTATTATAAAAAGAATTTGTCCAAGTTATATATTATAGAAGTACAATTATGTGAAAAACTACTGTTGAATTTTAAATTAAAAAATATTCTTTATTTTCTAAATATAAGAGATTTCTTGATATTTCTAAATTTTCTATTGATATTAAAGATTATTATTAATTAAATTAACCAAAAAGAATTTAAATCATTTTAATTATTTTTTAATATAGATCAAAATAAAAGTATTAATTGAAAATGGATATGAATAATGAATCAATGAAAAATGAAAATAAAATATTTTATAATATAAAATAAATCATAATGATTTATAAAACTCAATTAATTATTATAGATTACCAAATAATCTAGTTGAAAATGTTCTTTTAGTTTTTTGTTTAACTCTTTCTAATACAGGACCATAATCCATAATTGTTGTTTCTGGTCTTCTTTTCTTAAGTGCTATCCATTCATTAAATAGATCTGAGAGTAATAATTAATGTAATTTCTTCCAAAAATTCTCTTCCTTTAATAGAAATCTGCAAAAATTTTTAAGTGCTACTCTATCTGCAATTTCCTATACATTAATTTGAATTATACCTTTCTATCTCTTTCATCAAGTTATTCTTATAAATGAAAATATCGCTTAATAAAGAAAGTGATATTGATAGAAGAAGCTGCAAAATAAAAGTCATTTGATGATTTACACATTTCTTTAACCATAGTTTCTTTGTAATCACTCACAAAATTGATAATATCATCTAATGATTATACTCCACCTCCTCTAAAATCTGTAGTTGGATCAGCCTATTAAAACCCAAACTCTGTCCATTTTTAATTTCTAATCTCCTCCAAATCATTTTCTGTTAATAAATACCATAAACCCTTTATTCTTTTAACACAATTTTCATCTTCATGAGAATATAAAGGATATAATTCAACTCTTAGATTCCACCATTCTTTAATTTCTTAATTTGACAAATTATAAGTTTCATCAAAACAAGATGATAAGTACTTTTCTTTAAATTCCTTATTTTTTGCATGAGTAAGTGGCTCATGAGCCATTTATATTTCAGTCCATGGGTGACTTTTTGGTTGATGTATAAGAACTATAGTTTGATCCTATTGTTATATTTCTTAATTCATTTTAAAAATATTTTCTTTTCTTACATTCTTAAAATTAATTAAGAAATAATAAATACAAAATCTTCATATAATTTATGATAGAAGACAATCTTTATCAATTATTATATTAAAACCAGACATTATAATTATATATAGAGAATGCTTTTGATATTAATATAGATAATTAACCTACTAAAAAAAGGGAAAATAGCACCAATTATTTACTCTTGATTGAAATAAATATAACTATACAATAAAGACAATTGAATATATGAATAATAATATATTTTTAGATTGTATAACTTTATATTTGAATCATTTTAATTGATTCAATACCTAATCGAATGTAGGCAATCTATTGGCTAATCCTCCTTCAGCTACTAAAGTAGGTCTATTCTTCAATAAATCAACAACAGCTTTGTTTATTTAATCTGATGTAACTGCATCAATATAGGTGGCATAATCATTGATTTTAATAGCATTGAATACTTTCAACTAAAGAATTAATTTATAATTTTACGCTTTTAGCAGCTTCTTCTAATCTGTCTGAAGTTCTTTCAAGAGCCAAATACAATTAAGTCTTTAAAATATTTTTAGCTCTTGTTAATTCAGTGTTTGAAATAGGTCCTGTAAGAGCTTTCAATTCATTAACAACACTACTAAGTAATTCAGATCCTTTATCTGCTGATCCGATAATTTTAACTCCAAATAATCCAGCATCAGAAAAAGTAAAATTCAAACTTTCAACAACATCAGCATATGAATTCTTGTTTAAGACTATATATATATTATGAAATGAATAAATACTGTTTCTTTATAATCTTGATTAAGCACTTCCTTATAATCCTAAAAGAGCATTGAGTACTTAGAATACTGCAGCTTATGAATTTGTCCAGTTGGTTGATGGGAATAATAATGCAATGGCAATTTCATTGTCATCAGTTAAATTTCTGACTTCTCCTCCAACATATTATGTTTATGCTCTAACTTTAGAAGTTTAACCAGCAGGAATAAATCCAAGTGAATCTTAAACTAAACTAACAAATTCAGTATGATTATAGATTCCAGCACCAGCAACAATAATTTTAGATGGATTGATATTTTCCAATTAAAATTTCTAAATTGTATAAGCACTCAAATTTCCAATATTAGTTTTAAATCCTCTTAATGGCATTCCTAAACCAGTCAAACCAAAAGCAGTCTTAAATATTGTTTCATTAAATCCTTCTCCACCTATAAATAAAATCTTAAATTAAATTACTTTTAATGATATTTTCCAAATTATGTGTTCCATAATTTTTTTCAATAGCAGAATTTGCAGCTACTACTGATCTTGGTTCTAATGCACAATCAGATACGACTTTGAATACATCTACTACATCATGTGCCAAACAATGTGCTTTGAAGTATGCACTTTCTTAATCATAATCCATTTCAAATTCACCTCCTGATTATTGAATAACACCACTAAATAATATTAAATGCTATATTACTAGTTGATGGTTTCATTTGTATTTAAAACAGTCTTGTAATAAGTATTTTTGATAGACAATAATGATCCTGATGTTTCATTTGTCTCATCTCTGGTACCAACATCCAAAAGAATACCAACATCTACTCTTGAAGGAGATGAAGCACTCTCTGTCATAACAGTGATGCCATTTGAGAGTTTTGTAACCTCATATCTTCTTTCCTATTCTCTGATCTCACTACCTTATTATCCTACTGCAGATTTAGGACAACCAGCAGCAAGTTTGTAAAGATCAGAAGACTTATCATCTCTGTAAATTAAATCATGTAATTAGGCTCTCAAAGTAGAGAATTTGAATTAGGACTAAATAAAATCTTATTATTTCTTACCTTTGATGCAATTCTTCCTGAAACTCTAAAAAGCATGATATTTTATTTTAAAATAAATTTTGTATATGTTTGATATCAATAACATTATCAAATTATAGATATTAAACAAATATTATTTAGGTCTTAATGTAATAAGAAAACGAGCCTACAAGTATAAGCATATCAAGAAGAGCTGCTTACAACTATATAAAGCCTATTCTACATGAAGATTCCTTAGTTTAAACACCAACAACATCTTTTCGTTCATGTTTTAAATAGATAACCTAGAAACGTAGCATTTTTAAATCTTAACATTTAACAGATGAAATTATTGTTAATCAGTTTCCACTTTAAGAATCATTTGATGAAATTGGAAAATACTAATCATAATATTTTCTTACTGTAAATAAGATTGCTAGTATACTAAATTCAACATTTCATACTTTTATTTGTATTTATGTGCTTATACTTTAATTTTTTCATTAAACAGAGCAATTAATATTATTAAGAATAATTGGAATGATATTATTATTTTTTCATTTGATCTTATGCTTACTTTTGAAATAAAACATATTAGATGCTTCATAATTGGCGACATTAATATTTTATGTAGTTACTTTTATTTTTGAGAATTAAATTTTAATCATATATCTTTTTATCAGTATTTTTCATATTCAAACTCTATTAAATGTGATAAAGGTCTCAATTATAATTATATCCAAATAATGTAATAATATAATTATTTTTAGATAGTTTTACATAATTTTTACTACTAGAAATCATTATACTAATCTATACAGTACATATATATGCTAATTTCTTAATAATTTTTATGTAAGAATCAATTGATAATTACTCATTCTGGTTTATTTATCTTAAATCAATTAATTATTCAATAAAAATACTTCTCTTTGATTTCCAAATAGATGATGAATCAACTAAAAATCAATTAGCTAATACATTCTTTATCATATTTAATATCAACTATTACTTTTTATTATTGAAAAGATATGAAAAACATAAGAAATCTTATTTCTTATATGATCATTTTTAAATGTTTATTAATAATAGATGCATTCAAATCAATATTTCACTTTTAGAGATGTTTAATTTTGTATGGATCTTACTGAAATTGTAATTTTAAGATAAATTTCTACAAAAATTAGAGAATCTTAAAATATAAATTTATGTAGATTAATTAAAGAAATGTTAAATCATTGAAAAGATATTTTCAGAAGAGTTTATTAGAGATTTAGCTTAAGAAGCCAAAATTATCAATGTCTTTAAAAATTAAATAATTCTAAATCCAGGATTATATATTGTCATTTAAGGTGGAATGAAAGTATAAATTTAGGCTGAATATGAAACTAAATAAATCTTAAAAGTAATTTAATATTAATAATTTAGTAAGGAGATTACTTTGGTCTTATTGAAATGATTCTTAATAAAAGTTAAAATTTATTTCTAAAATCTATAAAAGAAGAAAGTCTGCTTATATATGTTTCAGGAGAAGATTTTCATTATAAAATAAAAGAGTTCTCAGAGGATTATGAAATAATGAGATATATTCATGATCAATTGTTATTCACATAAAGTACAACAAAAATTAAATAAAAATGTTATTTTTGTTAAGAATATCACATTCCTTCTTAATGTAAGATAATAAATTTCAAACCTGAATTTGATCTTGAGAAATTGAAATTAGATTAATTAAATGATCGAAGATATTTCTAAAGAATAAATACAAAGCATAATTTTTAAATAAGAAATATTTCAGAATCATCCAAAGATTCAAATTAATTTGAAGAGTCCTTTGAAATTGATCCTATTAGCTCAGATATACTTAATGATAGATAAATAGGTAAAAATATTTTAGGATCCCTTTCTTAAATGATTATTTGTAATTCAAAAATATCTCAAGAAGGAATACCATAAATACATTAAACTTAAAGTTTTAAAGTATAAGAAAGTTAAACTTAACAAAATTAGTTGAATACAACATAAGGATGGAGAATTTTCGATTAAGAAAATAAAAATATTTGCATAGATAATTTAAAAAACTTTTAGTTTTATGATCCTGTGTATAACATAGATACTATAATCCGAAAAGTAAATAAAATGTTAGAACATTGAACTTTTATTTTTCATAGTTAATCAACATGATCAGCTACTATATCTACTGGGGCTTCACAAACACCTCCAAAATATAGGTTGAGTCTATATCCATTCTTCCATGCATAACAAGTTCTATGTTAAATTGTTTATTTTTCAAGTGTATATCCATTGTCATCCATTAATTCATAAATGGTTGAATCAGCCAAAAATATCAAACGATATTAATACCAAACTTCTGTTCTAATCTTAGTATTAAAAATTCTTATAAGTTGATCAGGATGTTCATAGGGAACTACACTATTATCATAAGCATATGCTGCTATTTCCACTAAATCTTTTTCTTGACAATTTGGTATTTCATATACTCCTTGTTCATTATATTTCAAACATGATTAAGCTCTTCTAAAAACAAATCTATCACTATCTTTATGATGGAGTGATCCTAGACATCTAGAATAGCCATATAACTTATTCCAAGAAGTCATACATCTCATTTAATTTTCATTATGAGGAACAACATAAGTTGCTGCAGTGAGACCTAACTTAATTCTTATTTGAACAACTTCTAAGTTCTTTTAATGTGCAGGATATGTAGGAGTTTCATATTGATCACCTTTCTTAACTGTTAATGTATATTATGCTTAATGAGTAGAAGCAATGAAAATATATAACAATAATATCATTAAAATTTATGAGTGATTAATTGATCATTAAAAGGAGGAGACGTAATACAATAGATGCCACAAATTAAATTATCACTCTAAATTTGTCAGACAATAATTCCTCATTGTTAACACTTAAGCAAGAGATATCAAAAATAAGTATTACTTTTGGAATATTCCATTAGCTAGAATTAAACCATTAAGATAATGGTTAACAAGTGAAGATTTAAAAACTGTATATGATGATAATAGCAAACCTTTAAATTAATGTGGATTTAAAAGTGGATAAGTTTTGGTTGTAAAGGATTTAGGACCTTAAATGCTATGGATCACAGTATTTTATGCAGAATATGTTGGTCCAATTTTGATGTTTGTTTTGTTGTACTACTTAGGCAAGAAAGATAAGTACACCTTTATGCAAAAGTAAGTAAATAATTAAAGACTTAAGATCTGCTTTATGGATGGTAGCTGCACATTACATAAAAAGAATATTAGAAACAAAATTTGTACATGTATTTAGTCGAGACTCAATGCCAACAAAACGAGCTTTGATTAATTGTTTCCATTATTGGATTCTATGTGGAGCTTGTATTGGATCTGAATTATATTTATTAAGAACTTTTAAGGAAGATCCAGCTTGGAAGAAGATTTTTATTGCTTTATTTGCAGGATTTGAATTTTTAAATTTAATGTGTCATTTGAGATTGGCTAGCTTTAGAAAGTAACCAGCTATTAAAAAAAATGACTCTGATTATGTGGCATTGAACAAATAAAGATAAATTCCATATGGATGGGGATTTGGTAGAATTTCAAGTGCAAATTATTTTTGGGAAACAATGGCTTGGGTTAGTTTCACTATATTTACTGGTTCATATGCAGGTAATAATATAATGATTAATTAATTTAGCAATTGGATTCACTGCTTTTTCATTTTCTTAAATGATGATTTGGGCTAAACAAAAACATTAAAGATATCTTAAAGAATTCGGAGATAAATACCCAAAAAACAGAAAAGCTATAGTTCCATTTATTGTATGAAGAATATAATATTGTGTCATCATTTAAATATAAATAAATGCATTTTTATGACGTTTTATAATTTATAATACGTATATATGTGATGATGAATATGATATTTTTCATCATTAATAAATTCCTGTATGTATATTTAACAGATTGCAAGATCAATCATCAATCGAAGTTGCTTTTCAACTGCAACAATAAATGAAGGTACATTCTTAGATTAAGTCATGGCTTATTTCAATAAGGCTGCTGGACATACAAAAATAAGTCAAGATAAATTAGAGTAAGCATTCAATTACAACATTTTAGCTTTTACAAGAGCACTGATATAGTGATTAAATTCAATTTGCCATTGGTGAGAGATGATGGAACATACGTTTGCGTAATTTATTAAGATAAAATATATAGGTGCCTGCATATAGAGCTTAACATAAGACTTATAGATTGCCTACCAAAGGAGGAACAAGATTAAGTCCACATATCAATATAGAGGAAGTAGAAGCATTGTCATTTTTGATGACATTAAAAAACTCAATTTTGGATTTACCATATGGTGGTGCTAAGGGTGGTATTGGTATCAACCCTCGTAAATTTTCAAAGAGAGAAATTGAAACTTTAATGAGGAGATACACTTTAGAATTAGCAAAGAAGAATTTCATAGGTGCTGCTATAGATGTACCAGGACCAGATCTTGGAGTAATTGTATTAAGTAATTTCAGACAGGTGAATAAGAAATGAGTTGGATGAAGGATGCATATACTAAATTTAAAGGACATTAAGACATTAATTCTGTGGGATGTGTGACTGGTAAAGCAATCAATTAAGGTGGAATATCAGGAAGATAGGAATCAACAGGAATGGGAGTAAGTTATTAAAAATAAAAATTAGATATTCTTTGCTACTAGAGAAATATTGAATGATGTGAAATATTGTCAATCTGTAGGAATTGAACCAAGTTTGAAAGGGAAATCAATTATAATTTAAGGATATGGAAATGTATAATACAAAAATTAATAGTAAAGGTTGGTTCATTCTGTGCTAAATATATGTACGATTATGGAGCCAGAATAATAGGAGTAGCTGAACATGATGGATCAATTTATAATCCAAATGGAATAAATCCATATGAGTTAGCTGCTCATAAGACTAAAACTGGAGGAGTTAAGGGATTTGTTAATGCATAAAAATATTGGGAAGATGAATCAGCAATATATTAATAATGTGACATTTTCATTCCAGCTGCATTTGAGAAAACAGTTAATGCTGGCAATGCTGATAATTTTAATTGTAAGATTATAGCTGAAGGTGCTAATGGACCAACTACAATGGCAGCAGAAGATAAATTGTTATCAAAAGGAGTGATATTTTTACCAGATATTTTGCTTAATGCTGGTGGTGTTACAGTTAGTTATTTAGAATGGTTAAAAAATTTAAAACATATCAATCCAGGAAGAATGACAAGAAGATGGGAAGAATAAGCAAAACATAGAATTCTTGAAGTTATTAAAATGAGTACAGGTCTCAATATTAATATTAAGGACAGTAAACTTGCAAAAAAGATGTTGGAAGGTCCATCTGAAGTATTTTAATTATTTAATTGAATAGACTGATTTAGTTCATACAGCTTTAGAGTAATCCATGATAGAGGCAGTCAATAATATAATGGCTACTTCTAAAGAATACAAAGTCAATTTGAGATTGGCAGCTTATATTAGTGCAATAAATAAATTAAATGAACATTTTGAAATGGCAGGAGTAGAAGCATGATTGTTATATATATCCAAAAAAATATTCATTAAAATAAGTCAGAATAAAATGATAAAATGGTTTTGTATACTCTTAATTTTTGAAGAATTGCTTGCTTAAGATTTTCATGTTACAATAGATGAAATTCAAGAAGAAATCAGTATTATTCCCATTTATTCAGATAGATAAAAAATAGATTTATTATGGATCTACAGTGAGAATAGAACATTAAACATCAAAATATTTTCTTCATTCTCATTTAGTATCTTATGGAAGTGGATCAGGTTAATAATCTGTTACAGGTATGTAAGCTGATCATGATTATAACAGTTTATGGACTATAAAAGAGTGTTATAATCAACCATTAAAAAAATATGGTATTTAATACGTGTGATTATTATAGATGATCAAATAAAATGTGGAGATTGTATTAGATTAGAACATATGTTAACAAATAGAAATTTACATTCTCATCCTCATTAAGCACCCTTTTCTGGAAATTAAGAAGTTTCTGCTTATGGAGATAATGGTAATGGAGATACAAGTAATATATTTATTTCTATATTAATTAGGTGATGATTGGATATTAGAATGTATTGATAATAAGAATGGTGATCATTTTTAAGCATCAATGTGGTTTTATTTGAAACATAAATTAACATAAAAATATTTGAGGAGTAATAAAAAAGATAATTTTAATTAAAGAAATTGTGGATATCATTGTCCAATAGAAGGTTAACTTGAAATTAGTGCTTAATCTACAAAAAATGCAGATGCAAAATGGAAAATACATTCAGGATTATTCTATTAATAACCATAATAAATAGAAGATGATTATGAATAAGATGGAAGACATTGTAATACTTATGGTTAATGTGATGATATAGATGATGATGAATTTGAGACTGTTGTATAAAAAGACTTGTGATTTATATTATTATAAATATATATATATATTATTAAATTTAATCATTTATGAGAAGGTATTTAATTTATAGTATCATAGTAAGTAGGGTACAACAATACAAAAGTCAGAAAAATCTATTAAAAGTCAATCTGAATATTCTGATAATAATGTTAGTTATACAAGTACTAGAAAAGAAATGCTTAGTGAAAGATTGGTTAATTCAGGTGAATAGGCTAGACTTGAAGAATATTTAAAATAAAAATTTATTGATGTTGGTTGGAAAGATGATTTGAAAAATCATGCAAAATGTTATTTATATTATTATATATATATAGAATTTATTAGAGAAAATGGACTAAAAATAGTTCATAAAGAAGATTTATATAAATTATTATCAGTCAAAGGAAAAGAAACTGTTCCAATGAAATTAAGAGAAGATATAGTTAGAAGATTAGAAAGATTCATAATTGAACTTGAATAAGAAGAAGAAGGTGAATATGATGATGAAGATGATGTTTGAATTAATTAATTCTTTCTAAGAAATATTTTGATTTTATTTTATCTATGTAATAATGTCAAATGTTTAACTCAACTTATAAAGCAGTTAAGTATGACATGGGGCAAACTTTACCTATTGTCTTTAATGGCACAGATAATCCTGAATGAATAGTTAAACTAAATAATTTATTTAAATTATTTACGAATCATTATAATTGTATTTCACATATTATCTAACTTCCAATTATTTATTAATGAAAAATCTCCAATCACATTTCTTCAATTTTGCATGACAGATTAATTCAATATTAAATTTATTATCCACTAAAAATCCACAAGCTTTATCATTTCCTCTTCTTCTTAAATAACCAAATTTGATTTCTTAGTTTTAACAACTTAATTTGTTATCTACAGTATTAGAACCCTTTATAAAGAATTCATTTAAATTTTAAGTGTAATTAAATAGTCCATCAAAATTAAATTGATTATTACTAGTGTTCCATTAGATTCCTTCTCTTAAGTACCATTATGGTTGTGTGAAATTAAAGTTATAATTGACGAATAATCCTGAATTGAAAGTTGCCCCTAAACATAAATATATTAATTACATAAGGAATGCCAGAATTTCTGATTTACTTCCTTTTAAAATCCAAATTAATATAAAAATTTTTTATTGACAGAAAAAACTTTGGCAAAGTAAGAGGCTTCAAATTTACTAAGTTTCCATTAACCCAAATCTAAACCTAATTTCAAATCAGTATGATCTCTAACTCTGAAATGAACCTTAGTAGAATTCCAAGGGAAGCGAACATCAACTACTTAACTTTTACAATATTTTCTAAATCTGAATTTAGTATCTTAATTCTTCATCTAACCATTAATTTATAATGAATGATTTTCAGGGTTGTCAACAAAGAAATTAAAAAATGCACTATCTTTTATTTGGCTCGTCATATTTTTATAATTTTTATTAATTAAATCATTTTATTTATAATCTAACAATCAATCAATATAAATATCGAAATTCAAAATTAACTATTAAATTCTGAAAATTATTGAAACCAATTATCGCAAATTAAGAGAACAATATAAAAAAACAAAATATTTTCATATAAATTATTTACATGATTAAAAATTTTGATATTTTTCATAATTAAATAATTATTTCATTTAGTTGCTTAAATTTAATTATAAAAATATTAGACTTCTATAATTAATATATATATATTGAATGATTTATTGTATTTAATAATATATTGTTATTATTATTCAAACCTGACCCTACAAAAGAGGAAGATTCATTAGATTTATCAAATGAAAAAGTTTTGATAAATCTATTTCCTCTTTACATGATCCTCTGATTAAAACTAATCTACTTGAGTCATTAAGTTTGATCTGTTTGTTAAAAGGTTAACAATTATATAAATTGGACTTTTCAGGTTCAATTAACTTCTCTAATTAAGAAATTTTAGCAATTATTTTATTAGCCTCCTTTGTATTCCAATCTGATGATACAGAAGATTTATGTCCAATAATTAATTTAGAACCTAAATTTATTTTTATATGATTTATACATGATGTATTAGAACAGAGGATCATTTTTTTGTAACGATGTTTCAAAGCAAATTCTGTTCTCTTTTTACTTTCTGTTATAGCTGAAAGTCTAATGGCAATCTCAGCCCATCTACGTCCATGTTGTAAGAGTAATTGTAAGAAATAAAGATCCTCTTAATCACTCCATTCTTCACTGAAATAATAAAAAAAGACTTTACCGATTTATTGATGGATCTAATTTATTACCCCATCTTTCTCTACATTATTTTGGTGTTCTCATGAATTTACTTTAACTTACATCATTTAGTTCTTTTGCTATCTTACTCCATTTATTGCCTTTCTTTTATTTCAAAAATGACCTAAAATCTAGAACAACAATTTACAATATAATTTCAAGCAATTATTAATCTTCTTAATCAGTCCAAGGATTGTTATAAGCTGATTAATGTAGAAATTATAAACTCATTTCCTATAATTCTTTGGGAGTCCTATATGTAGGCATCAATTCACTAACTAGCAACCATTATTCATCAGACTGTTTATAATTTTTAAAAAATATACAAGTTTAATACTTAGTGGAGCTTGAACACTAATCAGAATACACTGAAGTAATATTTCCTCATTTTTCATTCTATCATCTGAAGACTTAGCTTGTTGAAGCTGATAATACATTCCTTCTAAGACTTTGTAATTAGGTATGGAGTTAAAGTGTAACATCCATTTTTTTTTATATTCTTTTATGTCAACGTTTTGAATTTGAAGAAAGTTCAATTTATGAGAATGTTAGGATTCTTCAGTGGATTAATGATAAGATTATTAATGAACATGAAGGAAGCTCATATTCTTATATGTTTATAAATTAATAAAATCTCTCGCATTCACATAATTTCTTTAAATAATATGCCTCATGAATATCTTCCAAAAATATAAATGTATAAAAGTATTATAATCAAAAATTTCAAGTACAATTTTACATTTGTACCTAATATATTATATATCGGAAGATTAAAAATTACACTAACAAACAATTTAGAAGACTTTGTATTAAAATATCATCTTATTTATAGTATTCACAAATTTTAGATATTTTAAAAATAATATTGTGATTTTATTTATAAAATGTAATAAATAAAATTTCAGAAGTAAATTTAAAACGCGATTTCATTCTCTTTGCTAATAAGTTCATAAATATATAAAATTAGAACTTAAATATAATAAGAATCAAAAATATATTCAATTATATGGCTAATGTTATTTTTAATTATGAATTTCCTTTATTTTTTATCTCTATTTGTAAATCCTATCTAAATCTAAAATTTCTTATCTTTTTTCACAATTCTTTTCCATAATTTTTAACTATTATATTCAAATTAATAATTACATCTAATGTTGGAATTTTATTAAAATGAAATCTGCTTAATTTTAATATTGTTACATTATTTTAAAATGCTCTAATACGTCCAAATGAATTAAAACCTTTTGTATTGAACATTAAAGTTTCTCCAAAATAATCTCCATATTTTATATAATAATTATTGAATCCATTTGGATTTTCTATTTCACACATACCTGAAAGCATGATATAAAAACCTTCTAAATGCATTCTATTATATTTTAACTAATCAATTTTATGTTTATATTTAATAACCAATTTCTTTAATTTACTTTAAAAATGACAATGCTTATATTAATCAATTAATCTATGAGTCATCTAAATTGTTGCTTTAGTTTATTTTCTAAGATGTATATATTCAAAATTTTCTTAGTATGATCCATCATTAAATAAAACTGTATTTTTTTTGAGAATACATTTCTACATTAATTCATAAACTAACTTATAAAGAGTTAAAATGGAAACACCTTTAAATATGGATAATTATTATAATCTTGTCAATAATTCAATACCTTCCATTTATTATTAAGCTTCCCATAATTCTTCAAAATAATTCTTCTAGATTGATATCAATTCTAATCTTGTTTATGTTAAAAACCATATATCTGAAATATTACATAAACCATTATCTTTGTCTGGACAACCAAGTATATCTCCTTGTTTATAATTAGCTTTATTTTTAATAAATAAATAAATACCAATAATATCAGGTCTTTTATATTAGACTCGATGATCATAAACATTTACATTACCTGCAACAATTATATGAACTTCATTTTCTTTTGGAAATATTACATTATCTTTTTCAACTACAATTAATTTCATCTTTTTCAAAAATACTCTCTTAAATTATGATTAATAAATAATACTAATATGCTTGTAGCAATTCTTTTAAAGAAACTTGTTTATTTAAGTTCAATTAATAATTCTTCCTCTCTCACCCATGATTAATTAATCCAAAATTTAACTAAATTCTCTATATAAACATCTTATTCAATAATTGATGTTACTAATTTATGAAATTCACAAAAAACTAATGGATTAAATTTAATTTCAAGTTATCTTTTTTAACTAAATAATACTGCTAACATAAAGTGAATACAAAGACTATAATTTGTAGCTCTTGATGATTCTTTTACAATTTTATAATCTTCAGCAGCTCTTTCTAAATTAAACATTCTTTTTGCACAAATTCCTCTTAAATAAACATATAATGATCTATCTTTAGAATTATCATTTTATATAATTAAATCTAATAATTGTTAAGATGCTTTAAAAGATCCAGTTTTATATAAACAAAGTGCATATCTAAATTTAAGTTAATTAGTTTCTGTAAATTATAATGCTAATTAGAACCATTTTTTAGCAGTCATTATTTTACCCATTTTTTCATATATTATAGCTACTAATTAAACAGCATTAGAATCTAAAGGATTAGTAATCAAAGCTTATTTAAAACAATGTAATGCTGTTTCAATATTATCTTTAATATGTTTAATACCTTTATTATACCAAAAATATTTATCTTCTTATTATTTCTCATATTTTTCATCTAATAAGGCATTAAAATTAACTAGTTCAGTCTTATATTTGATTCTAGTTTCTGAATTACAATTAAGTAATTGATTTGTTTTTTAAATTAATTATTTAGAATTAGCAACACTAATATCTGATTATTTATTTGATAACATAATAGATTTATTTGGTATTGGAGGATTTATAAGTTATTATATATAAATTAAATCTTCTTCTTCATTAATTTCAACATTTTCACTTCTTCCTTAATTTATATAATTAAATAATTATTTAATTTCAGGGATATTAGAATTTTAATCTTATTATTTAGATTCATTTTAATTTTATGAATCATTATTATACCATGCAATAATTTATTTAGTAACATTTTAACTTTAATTACTTTTATTTAAACTTAAAGACATATTTAAATTATTATTATTTATAGTAGTTCTACGACTCACTGATGAAATTTTACGATTTTATTATACTGATGATCTTATTTATCTAGTTTATTTAATAGATGCTTAATGAGGTTTATAATCAATTGAATCAGTTTCACACATTTTAAGTTTTTCTTCTTTAACAAGTTTATGATTTATCTTATCAACTAAATTACCAGCAAATTTTTATTTGTTTATTGGATGATCTTCATTATTTCTTGAGTATTTAATATATTTAATCATATCACTAGTTAAAAGAGAACTTTCCATATCATCAATTGTATGTATTCTTGTACGTGTTTCTGAATTTTTCTTAGTTTAATGACCTTATGATATTTTATCTGTATTAGTTATTTGATTTTAAGATTATTATGTTTATGTATATTAAAATGGTTTTGGTATTAAATTTAAATTTGATATCTTTTATTCTTATTCAGAATCTGGATTAATTAATTATTTAATAGATTAAACTGCTTAATTTAATTATTTTCTAATTTCTGCCTATTCTTTTTAATGAAACTTCATCATAGATTTAAAATTATTATCAATCATTTATTTTTCTTATTAACTATTCTCACATTTAATTATTTGATTTTCTTCTGGTTATTTTACTTTTTCTTATTTTTCTATCTATTATTATAATTAATTAATTTCCTTATATGCAAAAGATAAGGGAACCTCTTCATTTTTTGTATAATTCCTAGTTATATTTTCATAATTCTATAAAAAAATATGATTCTCAATAGTCCTTTATTATTAATTTTAATTTGTTGGTTATTCATGAATACTAAATCTTCTAGATTAATTATCAACACTACTTAATCTTCTATAATTTTCATCTGATTATAATAATACTCCCCTTCTTCTAGATCCTACTTATTTTCTCTTTAATTTTTTGTCTTCTCTTTCCTAAATTGGTTAACCAAATAATATTATTTTAGGTTCTAATTTAGTATGATTAAAAAGTAAATTTTTAGGATTTAATATACTTTCTCCATTTTAAATTATATATTTTTCATTTTTTGAAATTTAATCTGTAAATAAATATTCTTTTATTCCTTTTTATGTAGTTGGTAATCTATATCTACTTTTTAATTCTTCTGCATATTATTATGGAACATAGAATCTTTTCTTATTATTAAGTAATTATTCCATTGGTCTATTTTGTGATTAACAATACCAATCATCTAATGCTTATTCTGTCATTTAATTTAAGTTAATCTATCTTTCTCCACTTATACCTCTTGATTATCTAAATTAATCAATATTTGCTGATAATGCCTGAGAATATATAAATATATAATCACTCTCTCTTCCTAAATTTAAATTTAACTCTTATCACTTTCATGAAAATCATATTTCATACCACAAAAATCATGATTCTTACAACAAGGAAGTTGCATCTTATTCTTTTATTTCATAATTTATATAATTTTTATAATTCAAATTCTTCTTTTTATGCAAATTCTAATTCCTTAACTAGCTCATCCATTAACTTTTATAAATGTTTAACTTAACTTTCCAATTTTTATTTCCGTCTAATAATTTATTCTTTTTAATTCAGTTTCATATACAATTATTTTATATTTTATATTCTTATTAAAAATTCATTCTATTTATTATAAATTATATAAGTCTTCTAAATTTTAATCATATTATACTTAAAATGAATATTTTATATAATCATTTTTTAAGATTTTAAACTTTCATATATATTAATTTTCATTCAATTGCAATATATTTTTAACAATTCTCTTTATAATTCTGTTTAATATATATAAAATATAATCAATAATAATATAATGACTTTTAAAACACACTAATAGACTTCACAATTAATAAAATCATAATTTAACAAAAATTACTAAAACCAAAATATAATATTATCATTTGAAATATATATATTCTATATCTACTAAGTTTTTTTATTTATTGAATATGTTCTTCATTATATTTTTGTACTTTTATTTGATTTCTGTTTAAAATATTTAAACATATAATTTAAAGTATATTTCATTTTTCATAATTATTCCTTTTCTTAATAATCATCACCATAACTCTCTTATTAATATATCTGTATTTGGATATCCATTTATTATCTGCATCTCCTACTCTTAATCTTAATGATAGATCTATATAATTTAAATCATATTCACATAATTTTTTCTTTCCATTATATAAATCTCACTTTAGTTAATTAATTAATTGTCTAACAGCAAATCTCATGTTACAAAAACAAAAAAATTAGAAATCACTCATTTTAGAACTTGATTATGATACTGAATACAAGTCAATAAAGAGTTCAACAAAAATGTCTGAATAAAATATAATATCTAAATTTGTTGATTTATATGAAGAAGTGCTTTTTTAAATCAAAGGTTCCTAAAATTTAGTATATTATATTACAATATTTAAGTATTTAATCAATAAAATGGCTAACCTAAAGAATGGCAATATTGTTAATATTGAAATATTGTTGTCCAATTTCAAATATCTAATCACATTGTTAATCCAAGAATTAGTATTATCTATCTAATATTTAGATATAATTTTAAAGATAAGTGGATTCTCAAAACATTGAACCAAATAAGTTAAATAATCTGGAGTTAAATTAAATAAAACTAGATCTATAATAATTTTAATATGTATCACTTAATATTTTAATATTAAAGGACAAGACTGATTTATAATATAAAGTTAAATAACTTGAATAAGAAGTCTATCAATAATAACAATTAAATGCCACCATTTCTCAAAATTTGTTAGATTTCAAATAAAAATATTTAGTAAGTTTATTATAAATCTATTTAATTAGGAATTATAATATAAATACAATTAAGAGATTTAAATAAAATAAACTAAAACTTTCTATGATCAAAATATAAAAGATAAACTTAAAAAATTACATACAATATACTAAATAGACAAATCTTCAAATAATAAATCAATAATCAACAAAAAGTAAAAATTAACCATTATGACTGAACCTTGTGATTCTGATTCATAGTATAGTACTATTATTGAATTAAATAATTCTTATTATGATAGAATTAATAGCAAGATTAAATAAAATTAAACAATAGAAAGTACATATTAACTAATATTTGTTTAGCTATTACATCTGTTCAAACTGAAAATAATAAAAATGCTGATTCCTTTTCGTATATTCTGAATAGAAATTTTTATAAATCATAATAAAGAGATAAATCAAATACTCTATCCCAAGAATGTTATAATAATATTAAGTATGCATAAAAATAAAATCTACCTATTAACTCATTAAAATAAAAAAAATAAACTTAATTTAGCTGATAATTGTGATTACTAATTTATTTATATTAAATATTTATCATTCATATTCACTTATTCGAAAATAATGAATTTCAATAAAGGACCTAAGCCTAGCTTTAATATGCCTACATAGGTATAATGTCAAAAGGAAGAAAAACCATATTCGTATGTTGAAATTGAAAGCACAGATTGCTTTAGGAATGAAAAAATTATAAAAAATGTTAGGTTTGCTCCAACTATTACCATCTTTCTAAGATATCAGGATGAAGACATTGTTAAATTCAAAGATAGATTAAGGAAATAAATATAATAGACAAAAGAAACCTTCGATTTTCATCCATCTATGGCCAAACCAAAAATGAAAGGATAACTTAAGTCTTGTTTAAAATCATTTTTTGAATGGGATTCTTAAGAATTTTGATATTTTACCATTATGTTCTACTCTATTTATATAAATATGTTAATTAAAAAATTACAAGAAGTTAACATTCATTTCTGGAATTTACTAATACCTATTTTTAGCCATTTTCTAATAAAATTTGATTAATGAGTTAATATTCATATATTAATATATTGTAATTTCATTAAATTCCTTATAGATGTATTAATCATATTTGTAAATATCTCTATATCCATATGATTTTATAGATTATAAAAATTTCATCAAATTACTAGAAAATTAATAGAAATCATTACATAGCATATGAAAATTAAAAATTTACTAAATAATTCAACTGTAGGAAAGATTAATATATAAAAGAATTATCAAATAAATATTTTAAACTCTTCTATGTAAATTAGAAATCTTTAACATAAAACTGAACATAAACAGCTCATGTCATTTATCTAAATTAATAAAAGCCATTCACTTATATAAGGTTTAATTAATTCAAACTACAATTAATTTTGATAGTACTTGCAAAATTAAAACATCTAGCTATAGATTGTTTTATAAATATTTTGATGATAAGAATCAATATTGATTAATAATAGTTATTCATATAAAATTACATGATAATAAGATTATATTGTTAATTTAATTCATATATTTGAATGGACATGATTTGTTCAATCTGATAAATAAAATTTTTTGATTAAAAAAAACTTAAATTTTATATTTATTTATTCTTTAATGAAATCTTACTATTTAATTAGAAAATAAAGTAAATAAAAACATTTGAATGAATATTAACTCATATACAAAAGTCAATTAAATATTCATCACTTAACTCAGCTTAATCTAGCTTAAGTTTAGTATTTTTTGATGAGAAAGAGCCTGGCCAATATTATGTTGAAGAGATATTTTTGGGCAAAAATCCCAAGGTTTTGTAACATTTAGCAATCAATTCAGAACAAAAATATGTTCTATTTAACTATTTTGCTGTCTCTAAATTAATATCTCCTAGAGTTGTTGAATTTAACAACAATAATTTAGATGGAGCACAAGAAAATTGTTTACCCAAATTATTATTTACAAAATCTAATATTTTTGTTTTAAATGCTGTTGATCTATTTACTTTCAGTCTTCTATAAACAATTCTATAATCATATGATATTTTATACTTTTCATATAATTTATACCATTCTTTAATATTGAAATTCTTCCATTCACATAGACTTACTCCATTAGATGGTAATGATTCAAATATAAAGAGTCTATTAGGTTCGATTTTGATTAATAATCCAATATGATCATAATCATTTTAAGTTAAAGCACGCTAGATTTAACAATTAAAACTTTTTCCTCTAAATAATATTAAATCACCATCTTCAGCTTCTTCTTCAAGCTACTAAGCAGATATTCTTTCATGCTAATATAAATATATAGTATACTCTCCAGAACTTATCATAAAGACAAAGAGATGTTAATTTATTGAGTGTTCCAAAAGAATCTTATAAATGCAATTTAATGATCTAAAACCATTTTGTTGTTTCTTATGAATTCTCACCTTTGAATTAGAACACTTTTTCAATTTTGCCTATAGGTTTAATTCTAATTATTTAATACTAAATTATTACATAAATTCAATAACATTTCCTTATTTATCCTTAATATCAATAAGTTAATAAGTTTAAACATCAAAATTTAGTACTCCTTCTAACTTACGAGTTTCAGCAGAATAATATCTAAAAACTCTATTTATAATTGAACACTATCTTTCTTTATAACCTTAAATCCAATGAGGACTCTTTTTTAGTAATGATCCAAAAAATGGTTAGATTGCATTTCTATGGTTAATTGCCATGTTATCACATAAGTTACTAGAATACATTAAGGATTGATTATGAATTAATAATAAAGAGAAATGATTAGGATTAGAATTTGTCTCTTTTGTTTTTTGAATCTAATCTGATAATGATTCCCTAAAGTCTTTACAATATTAACTATTAAGGTTTGCATCTTTAATAAATTTTTCATTTTTGAGAAGCAATTCTTTGTCAATTATTTATCTCTATTGTAGACTAGTTAATGAATCCATTATATATATAATATTAAATGTTTTTTGTTAATCTCAATTTAATTAGAGTCTTTCTCTAAGATATTCTTTAAGAGTAACAATCTTATCTTGAATATGATCTGAAATTCTAGAAATCAAGTCTTATAATTAAACCCTAGATTGAGTTTCCATTTAATAAATATCTTATTATTATCTGCACCATTAATCTTATCCATCTAAATTAGACTATAAATAATTAATAAAAATAATATTACTTAATTTCTTTCTACTTCTGCAGCATGATATTCAACTTTTCCTTATGATTCTTCAATGATACTTTGATAATTTAAAATTGCTTATTCAAGATTCTATCTTTAATCAGATCTATTAAATTAAATATAAAAATTACAAAGTATTTCTTTCATTAGTTAAATCTGATAAGAATTATTACCAATTTAAACTTTATTATTTTTCAATATCTTCATCACTAGATTTACTTTCAACAATTTAAACTCTCAAATTTGATAATAATTATAACACTTTCTTTGCTGTATCAGAATCAGATTTAGCTGATAATTGAGTCATCATAGTTAAAATTGGTTAAAACAATAATCCACTTGATGTTGATTAACTAATATCAATATAATTATATATATTACCTTTATAATCTAGATAAGACTTTGTTAAATCTTCCTTTTACTTAAATGAATGAAGATCCTCCTGATAAATGCTCAATTAAAGCATAAGCTTCATCTATGGCTGAAATAGCTTCAGTATGATCTTTAATTTTAGATTAAAATTCAGCATATTATAAATCTCTTTCACTTTATCCTGCATTAGTTTTTTTAGAATTCTCTTCAATTTCAACAGAAACCTCAGCAATTTTATTTAATGATCTTTGCAAATTATTTGTATTCTCATCAACAATTTTAGTATGAGCTTTCAATTAGCTTTAATGATATGCTAAATTTGTAGAGAAATCATGAAGTAATCTATTACATGAAGCTTATGTATTTTAGATATAAAGATCAGAGTCTTTTTGTTCTTATTCCAACATAAATCTAATTATAAATATAAGAAATAACCTAATGTTATTAATATAACTTTGAATTTCATGTACTGGTGATCCTGTTGCTAAACTAATTTAAATGGCATTCAAGAATGTTTTTCCCATATGATTGTTGTCCATTTCTGCAAGTACAACTTTAGGATCTGTGGTCATTTTGCTTAATGCCTTTAATGATTATGAAGTCTTAATACCAAACTAATCAATAGCACTATAACGATTCTCATTTTTATATATAATTAATTAAAAACGAATTATGCTTGTGCTCAAATTTAATGATATAATCACAAATCAAGTTTAACAATAATAACAATAATACTAATACTTCAAGATTATCTTATCTCGTTACTCTAATTAGCATTTCTAGATTAAGAAAGCATACACAAAATTCTCAGGACGATGGTCTAAAGGAAGTGATTTAGAAAGATAAATAGATTATGTTTAAGAGAATTTGGATGTCAATTTAGTTGCTAAATTAGTAAATGCATTCAATGGTATTGAAATCATAATAAATACACCTTAAGAACTATATGAAATGTATTAAATATTGCATTTCTTTCAGATTCAAGAATTTTAAAGTTAAATAGAAAAGTTTCTTATACAAGACAAATCTAATATTTTAATAGGATACTAATTATCTGAATTATATGAAATAGAATCATTATCTAACTTTTATTTTGAATATTTCAAAGAATATGGATTCTTGGGTATTTTTAATAAAAAACTTGATACAGAAAAAGCAAGAAAACTAATATACAAAAATAAAAATAAATTAGTTCCATATCATTATTTATATTTATAAGCTAATTTATTTAAGAAATTATTGATTTTGCATAATAATTTAGCCATCATAAAGTTTGATAAAAACAAATTTTTAGATTAATTTTAGATTGCTTTATTAATAAGTGAATATTGTTTAACTAATGGATATGATAGAATTAAATTATAAGAAATCTTCTCTGATGCAGTTATTAAGGAATAAGTAACTAATGAATAGAAATAAATTATTTTGATAGAGTTTGAAAAATAATATAAAAAAAATCAAATGAGAACTGTTTCAAGTATTTCTTAATCAGAAGAAGATGATTCATCTGATACTACAATAGAAGTAAAACATAAAAATTCAGAAGTTACAATATCACAAATTCCTATTATAGAACCTATAGAAATATTTAGAGGTAAAGAATTAGATATTAAATTACTTATTGGATTAAAGAATTTATAATTTATGTTTAAGACTAAGTATACTTCATTTGGATTTTATGTTTCAAAAAAGATAGAATTAAATACATAAATATAAGATGAATAATTATAATTAGTTAATTAAATTACTAAAGTTTAACTTAATACAAGTTTAAGAATTAATTGGATTAGATTTGATGAAAATGGATTAAATGTAAATAATAGACTAATAATCGTCAGATCAAAAGGAATATGTAGATATGAAGAAGATGTAAATGAACCATAAGGTTAAATTAGATTAACAGGATGTCGTAATTTTATAATAGAAGAAGTGTAAGTATGGAATACTTGTTTTTTTGCCCTTTCTTGGAATTAGGGTTGAAATTAAATACAATTCAAATTTGTTATGATAATTCTTACATTTTAATAGCAAGTGGAGAAGTCGGTGATTTATCTTCAAAATTCGGTAATTAAATAAAATCTTCATTCCTTTATTTAACTGACTCATCTTCACTTGTTTCACTGAAAGCCTTTTCATAAATTTATTATAAAGTTTCTGTTTTTATTTATTTTTTTTCCTAATTTATTTTATCTTTTCTATTCTCATAATCATGAATAAACCATCTCTTAAAATAATGTTCATCCATATATTTAATAATCTTTTAAGCTTCACTTAACTCTTTCTTTTTTTGTTAATCTATAAGTACTGGAGTAGGAACTTCACTTATAGATTTTTATTCCTCTTCATCCAATTATTTTGCAATCTAAAAATTTATAAAGAATGGCATAGTTGTTCCAAATATAATAGTTGTTATTATAACAATATAAAGAACACAACTTTAAAGTATATTTATCTAATTAATTTCTATCCCATCTGTTGGAGATGCTACAAGTGTTTCAATCAGAGCAAATGCAACACTTCCTCTCACCATTCCTGCAAAACAACATATACTCATTTCATATTTTGTTAATTTCCAAACCTTTTCTCCTTAGATTCTATTATAATATAATTTAATTGATACGATATTGAAATCCAATAAACAATGTAAATACTTAAGTATCTAGCTAATATGACTATCCCTAATTACAATAATGTAAACACCCAAGATACTTCAACATAATATAAATCCTTAGTTAATGGACTATAATAAGTGGTTTAATTCCACATTGCAAAACCTAAAAAAACATACAAAAAAGCCTCTGCACCTAATGATAATGATTCAAAAGTAACTCTTGTAGTAACTCTACCTAATTGACTAATATTGTAGCCTTGATAATGACTCATTATTATTCCAATCATTAATAGACTGATAACACCACTTAAATCTAACATCTCACATATAGAATATCCCATATAAGCCATAAGAAATGCAAATACAGTCTCAGTAGTAGTTGAATTTGTTAAGAATCGGCATTTTTTAAAACACCAAGTTGAAAAAAGCCCTACAAAAAGCCCTATCAATATTGAAATTATGCAATTCTCTAAGAATCTACCTATGAATTCAAAAGGTGTGTACCATTCAAATGATTTACCACTTTATTAAAGTATTGTTACTGCTTAAAATATGATAATTGAAACAGCATCATTAACCATCCCTTCACCAAAAACTACACTAAATAATTTTGGATATTAAGATGAAGGAATTAAATTTAATGCTGCTACAGAGTCTGTTGCACATATAGTTGCACTATATTTTATCATTTAATCATAACTTAATGATATATTGGAATCTAAATTTGTACCCAATCTAACCAAATCTTTTATAATAACAAAAATAATACTCCAAGAATTAAATCCAATAGTCAGAGTTAATGTGATAATAAAGTTAAGTAGAGTGCTCAAAAATCCAAAGGATACGATGTATTTGAAATTTTTAAGGAATTGCTTTTTCTTAAGATTATATCCTCCAGAAAATATGATCAAAGGTAAAAGCAAATAAAAAAATATTGTTGCATTCAAAGAAAACTATAATATTGTTATGGATTATTACAAATTAAGCATAAGCATTTTCATCCATCCATTTAAGTAACAATCCCATTAGCATTCCTATTATGATGCCAAAACTAGTTTCATGTATTAAATGAAACTATTTATTATGCTTTAATTGATACATGAATAGATTTAAAGTATTCTCCAATCATAATATATATTATGATTACTATCATAAGTGCAAATGGGACTGCTCCATATTCTGACATAAATTTATTATTTTATATAAGTTCATTTAAATATATTGTTTATAATCTAAGCAACAACTTCCAATTATTCATCTTCCTCTAATTATTCAAATTTTTATATCTCTGAATTTGGTATTGATAATTCTTTGTTTGATAAATAGTATTGAATCACATTTTTATCTTCCTCTTTTAGTATTGACTCTTATGTAGCATTATAGATTATCAATAAAATATCACTAAATTGTGGTTTTAAATGGTCAATGCAATCTTTTACATCATTTTACACAATCTAATTACTTACAATCACTAAAGTGTTTTCATTAGATATAGTATGATTGCAATTAGAAATCTTTGTAGTATCGCTTAACTAATCAAAATAATCAAATTCTTCTTAAGTTACCACTTTTTATATTAATAATCATACCTAGTAGATGTGCATTCTTTTTGTGAAAGCCTACGTATTTTGACTATATATTATTACTTTATTTCTTAACATTCCAAAATAATAGCATGATTATACATGTGAATGCAATTGTTGCTCCAAAATATATTAAGTTATTAACATGACTTTTTTTATCTGTCTTCATACTTGCCACTTTTAATTCATTTTTTTCTTATTTATTAGACTCACTTATAAATTCTGTATTTTCTTCATCTCCAATCATTTTAATATTTTATTTTACAATTAAAGTTAGATATCAACTTTTTTATCAAAATTTAGATACTCCAACATATAATAGAGTGAAATCATTTTGAAAGTTAAAGAACCAATTCTACTTATTCAAAATACTAAAAGATTCTTAATAATTAATTATCAAAACCTATAACATGTTTTACTTTATTTATAAAATAAATTTTAATTATTCTTTCAATTCATTTAGAACATTATTGTGTCTTCTGTTTGAATTCTTTTTGATAAAATTAGCAATAACTTTTTTGTATATTTTAATATAATAAAGGAAAATGAAATTAGATGAAATAAAAAAATGCTTCAATTCTGAAAATCACTATAAACATATTAAACAAATCAAAGATTATATATTAGATAACAATAAGTAAGAGCATCTATATTAATATAGTGATATAACTAAATCAACATTATAAGCAGTAGAAAATACTTTGGAAGACACTAAATCATTGCCTATTTAAAAAGTATTATCAACGAGAGTACAATATTATTAAGTATTCAGTTAGTGAAAGAAATAATGGATTATCATATTGATATGGTTATTGAAAAAGTATAAATTAAAATCATTCCAATTTATGAACAAATTCTAATAGGTTATTGTGAGAAAGGATAAAAGGCAAAGTAATACTTTTCCGATTAACCTGGTAGATGTTATATTTATATATTAAAGATGAACAACTTATGGTTCTTGGTAATACATTTATAAGATTGATCAGTGAATCTGTTTTCGTTTGGAATATATGGCATCCATATATAAATGGATAATAATCAGCTTATGCAAGAGTGTAATAAAGTAGTTTTTCATTTTAGATACAATTAATTGGTTGCAAAAGGATTGTAATTTCCTAAACTATTTTATTTTAATTCTTAAAAGGTCAAGGAATTCTATGTTCATTCAAAAGAATAATTGCATACTTCTCCATTTGTTTACTCAAACAACTTATAACCTGATTTCTTCTATATTAAAAAAAGACTCGATAGAAATCAATTCTAATAAAGTGATCTCATTATTATAAGAAACGAATTACTCTGTAAATCATTAAAATAATTACAATTAGCTTTAAAAAACAGTCAATTAAATTCTAGTTAACAAAAGTTTATACAAAACTTTGAAATGGCATTTAAAGATTTTGAAAAATCATAAAGATTTGATGAATTATAAATTACAATTTAATCAATGTAAGATTTTCAGTTTAATTTTTAAAGTTGTTTGGAATTTGATGATGAAGTATTTGATAAATAATCAGCCATAGATGCATTTTAAAAGAGATTTCAATCAAATTAGAGCAATTTTACTCCTTCTAAATTACAAGTTGGAGGAGGGGGATATTCTACTGATAAAATTAGTCAATTTTTATCTCATGGAAGTATGAGTGTAATAATCTATTTTATTATCATAGTCTCAAAAATCATCACCTAATGGTTAAAAGTAGTAACTGTAAATATTAAATGAAAAAAATAGAAGAATAGAACATTTATTATTAGAAAACTCTCTTTTATAGAAATAAATAAAAAACTTTGAAAATTAGATTCACACTTTAAAACAAAATCTATCCTAAAATAATGAATGAAGATTAATTAATATTTAAAGAAATATATTCTAATTTTCGATTATGATTTAATTAACTAAAGAACATCTTCATGATTAAAATAAGAAGCTTACAGAAGAGAATTAAAGATTAGAATTGGTTGTCTATAGTCTACAACGATAATTATAAAATCTTGGCTCTTTTATAGAAAGAGCAAAATTGTTATAAGAATAAGTGGATGAGCTTAATCAAGAATTGGGAAATGTTAGAAGGGACAATACTCAATTATAAGAGATTATATTCACATTATAATCTCAATTAAATTCAAACATGAAAACCTCTCATTTAGAAAAACAACTTAATGAATTGGAAGCCATTAAGAAAATCTAAGAAGAATAACTAAATATTCTTACAAAAGAAAATGCTAATCTATAGAAACTAGTGAAAGACTTCAATAATAAATAAATTTCTAATCTTCAATTATCTGCATCTAAACTAGTTGAAATTGGAAATAAAATAGATTAAAAATTAAATGATTAATCTCATAGAAGAATGATAAGCAATCCTATATTATCAAGTCCTAAAGGAATATCTAAAGAAATATATCAAAATTTAGTTCAGTAACTTTCTAACTAAAGCACCGAAGAAAAATCACTCTTTGCTTCTCAGTATTTATTGAAATTATATTAAAATAGGCCAAAAATCAAGCTTAAAGATTCGAATATGTTCTCTTAAACATCATAAAAAAATTCTAAATTATCAGGTTTTTAGGCTTTATAATTAGATTAGCCTCTGCCTTCGATTCCTAACCTTATTAAAAAATGATTATAATAAATTTATCATAACATCATATTATTAATTTAAGATCTGAGAAACAATATAATAAGTGTATTACTCAAAATGATACTCAACAATGATGTAACTTACTTATATAATAATTCTAATTTTAGGTACTTTTTTATATATAAATAAACAAAAAATAATATTTTAGTTATTCCCTTTAATCTTAAAATTCAAATAAAATGATATAATAATGACTTCTTCTATTTTTTCTAATATTATTTATTAAAATACTACTTAATAAGTTTATCATATTTTTCTCATTTATCAAAGAATAAACTTTAAATATATATATTATTAATGAAGATTTAAAGATATTCATAATACTCTTAATCATAAAATTAATAGATTACTTAATAATTATGAAAATATTTAACAGTAAAGATAAAAAGGCTTTGAAGAATTTATAATTTATATGATATAAATAAGTATTTACTCATTATTTTGATATTGGTCTTAAATTTCATCTTCTTAATAATTTAAAATTAGTTTTTTTCAAGATTATAATTCAAAGAATGAAACTTGAATTTTTATTCATACATTCTTAAATACATATAAAATTAATTCATTAATTTTAAAATCATTATCTGATACGATTAAATGTATTTTTCAATATTTTCTCTAAATTAAAAAATATGCAAGCACCAAGCTTAACAAAATTGCCTAGTCAATAGAAAGTACCTAAGTATAGACCTGTAAGATTGTAAAATAAATTTAGTCCATCAATATAGACAATTTGATTGCCATTTGTACAGGGAAACTCAAGAATTGTCCAAATCACAAGAAAGCTCTTTATATTCGTGCATCAGCTTATATTAAGAAAGGAGAGTATTAAACAGCTATTTAAGATTGCAATAAGCTTCTTGAAACAGATGTAGATAACGTAGGCGGATATTATTTGAGAGGTATTAAAATTTGAAAATGAAGGATGTGCAAATGAAAAATTGGGTTAAATAGATTTAGCTATTGAAGATTTTTCAAAAGTGCTTTCATTAGATGAAAATCATGTTAATGCAGCATTTGCTCGTGCTTCTTGTTTAAATTTGAAAGGAGATTTTGCTGGAGCAATTGAAGATTATACAAGAGCTTTAGAAAAAGATAATGCTAAATCTCTAAATCTATCTAATTCTATCAATAAGAGGTCTTTACTTAGGAATAGTTCTATGAAGAAGGATGAACCATATCCTAAGACTGATGCATTTTAATTTACTACTAAAAAAAATAAGTATTAATAACCTGAAGAAGATGATTTGATGAATCCCCAGAATGACGAGGAATATTTATAAAATGACCAATCATAAATACAAAATTAACCTTAATAGACTAGCTTTATGAGTTAGAATCCTCTTTATACTAGTATTGATGCAAATGAATTGAATATACAAAGACCATCTCAAATAATTGATAAAGAGATATCATAACCTCTCTAATAATAATTAATATCAATGATACCAGAGAATATTAAAAATGATAATAAGAAAATCTCTGATTGGTTTCATTAATAAGGTTTTGATTCTAGAAAAAAAGAAGATTTTATAAAAGCAATAGAATTTTATACTATGGCTTTAATGTTTAATCCAAATCATTTTAAATCGATATTTAATAGAGGTATAACTTGAATTAATTCTTTGATTAGGCTTTGCTTTTGATAAACTAAGAATGTATAATGATGCTATTAGTGACTATACTAAGGCTATTGAAATGGATTCAAAAAATGCTTATGCATATTATAATAGAGGAATTTCTTATGATAAAAAAGGCGATTACAATTTAGCTATAAAAGATTTTGCAAAATCAATAGAAATTGATCCTTCAAAAGCAGATTTTTATCACAATAAAGGATTTGCAATGAAGAAAAAGAACTTAGTAAAAGAAGCAATTCTAGAATTTAATGAATGTATTCGTCTGGATAAAAATCATTTCAAAGCATATTATAATAGAGCAAATTGTTATGAAAAGTTAGGAGATTTTGATAAAGCATAATAAGATTATTTGATAGCTAATAATGTTGTTCCAAATAATCCAAATACTTTAACTCATATTGGTATATTAATGGATAGACAATAAAAATTAGAAGATGCACTTAAATACTTTAATTCGTAATCAATTTAATTTCATTCTTAGTTCTCTAAAGATAGATTAGAATTATGCCCCTGCATATAATGGAAGAGGGTTAGTTTTTGATAAAATAGGAGAGTTTGAAAAAGCTTGTTAAGATTTTAATAAGGCAATAGAAATTGAACCTTAGAATCCTGTTTATATTCATAATAGAGGATGTTGTAAGAGAAGCATGAATAAGTTTGAAGAGGCTTTGGAAGATTTTAAGAAAGCTTTATCTTTGGATTCAAAGAACCCTATTATATATTCAAATATGGGGTTAGTTTTGAGAAAAATGGAAGACTATGAAACAGCTGTATATTGTTATTCACAAGAATTAATTTACTCTTAAGAGAATACTAGAACTTTAAATAACAGAGGATACTGTTTGGCCAAGTTGAGTTAGTTTGATGAAGCCATAGCTGATTATACTAAAGCTATAAAATTAGATCCTGTTAATATTCATGCAATTTATAACAGGGGAATTTGTAATGAGAGGATTGGTGAATTTCGTAAAGTAGAAAATATTTATATATATAGGCTATAGAGGATTTTACTTAAGTAATTCATTTATAGAACGATTAAGGAGCTAATGCTTACTTCAACAGAGGGTGTTGCTATGATAAGTAATATTGATCTAAGTATACTAGTATTGGAGAAATGGATCTGGCTATAGCTGATTATTCCAAAGCCCTTGAAATTGATAATAAAACTAGTAAAGTCTCATGATAATTATTTATGTAAACCTTAAAATATTAATTAACTTAATTAACTTAAAGATCAAAATATTCTTACTAACTAATTAGTTATGATTATAATGTATATAAATTATAGTGTTTCAATTTTTAAAACTTTCACACTTTAACTCAAGGATCAACTCAGCAAATAAAAGTTTAAAATAAATCATATAAACATTTCTTAGAGAAAAAAATATTTAATATTTTAATGAGGAATTGGAAACAAATATTATTAGGTAATGAAATTAGACCTACTAATGATTAATATTTAATGTTAAAATATTATAAAATAATAAAATTTAATTAATAATGGCACAAAAGTAAACAAAATAATATTTTACTAATTAATTATGTTATTTTATATCTTTATCAATTTTATACTGCTCTGCCTTTAAAATGATCCATAGATTCGCTGACTCCGAACATTTCCATCATATTATCATACACACATGTTGGGAAGAGTGCTTTCACCATAATTGCTAAATTAAGAATGATAGGCATTATCACAACAGTTTCGTCTTAAAGAATTGCATTGACAATTCTTTATGATGCATAATCTAAACAATTAATTAAATAATTACTTTCAGATAATATTGGGAATAGAAGAGGAAATTTAGATTTAGCTCCATCAAACATTCCTGTATTGATGAAATATGGACAAATACAAGTAGTCTTAACTTTAGATTTTATAGCTCTTAATTCAAACCTAAGAGATTCATCAAAACCAACAGCCCCAAATTTAGAAGCACAATAATCAACTAATCCTCTAACTCCAACCCAACCTGCTATTGAAGCTATTGTAACAATATGACCATGATTATTATTAATCATTTTTTCTAATACTTCTCTGACAGTCCAATGATGTGCAGTTGTATTTATATTGATTGTTCTAGAAATACCAGCTTCTGAATTATTAAGAATTTGCTTTCCACTCACAACTCCTGCATTATTAATCAAAATATCTATGTTCTTTTTATGATAATCAATGCACTCTTAAATTGCATTTTTAACAGATTATGGATCACTAACATCACAATAAACTCCGAATGCAATTTTTTCACCATATATCTTATTTATTTCTTCAACAACTTTTTATAAAGCTTCTGAATTCACATCAACAATTGATATCTTTGTATATATAAAATTAAATACTTTTGCTCCTAATTTAGCAAATCTTATTGCCATATTTCTTCCAATACCACTTGCTCCTCCTGTAATAAATATATGTTCATTAGTTACACTCTTCTTCTTTAACCATCTTACAATAAATTAAAAAATTACCCATTATATTTTCTAATCTGATATTGAAGATAGAGCAATCCAAAACTCAAAGCTACCACTTATGCCATTCCATTCTTTCCTCTCTTTGTATAGAAAACCCTCAAGAAATCTTATGCTTTTCTGAAATATGGTTGTAATTTATCCATTTAAGATAATTATTTATTCTTATCAATAATTTACACTCTGTTTTATTGCCTCATAAATTTTAAATTTGTCTGGCAAATAAATTGGTTCATGAACTAATGGAAATGGTGTATCATAGCCTGCAACTCTTTTTATTGGTGCTTCCAAATGCAAGAAGCACTTTTCTTAGATAAAGGCACTTAATTCAGCTCCCATACCACATGTTTAAGGAGCTTCATGTGTTATTATGCATCTATTTCATCTATCAATTCAATACCTTCCAGTCTTTTTCACTGAATCAACTAGAGTCTATCCATCATATGGATATATTGTTTATAAATCAATTATTTCACAACTTACTCCATCCTTTTCTGCCAATTTAGATGCTTCTTTCAATACTCTTATTGATGTGCCATATCCAATCAATGTAATATGCTTTCCTTATTGAACTACTTCAGCTTTAGACAATTCCAACTAAAATTTCATTCCATTTTATATACCTCATAATCATCCAAAGGAACTTCGTCCTCAGCATTTCGATATAAGGCTTTAGGCTCAAAAAAAATGACTGGATTTTTATCTCTTATAGATGCAAGTAATAATCCTTTTGCTTATATTGGATCTCTTGGTACTACTACTTTGAGTCCTGGAGTATGAGCAAAGTATGCTTCTGGAGATTGTGAATGATATAATGCACTAAATTATACTTTCTATTCTTACCCATGTCCTACAGCACCCCAAGTGGATCTTATTGTTAAACTTCCACAATTGAATTGATTTCCTGATCTATATCTAAATTTGGCTGCCTCGTTGACTATCTAATCAAAGGCTGGGAATATGTAATCACCAAACTAGATTTCTGCTATTGCTGTGTATCCCACACTTGCCAATCCTATTCCAAAAGCACCGATTCCCTAATAATTTCTATTTATTCATACTTGCTCACATAATGGAGTATTGAATACTCTATCAGTACCGTACTTTTCATTTAAACCCTATGAGCATCTAAAAACACCTCCAAATTTAACATCTTCTCCAAATAATAATGCCCTTTCTTATATTATATGACGTACTTTGGATTTGCTCCTAATTCTATATCAAGTGCATTGTTTATTGCTTAAAACAGGTTCATTTTCTACCTGTTTGTGCTTGTAATATCTGAAGCAAATCTATGCTTTGTTGAGCCAAATCGATACACTCTTCTCAATAATTACATTTATTTATTCAATTGCTTATGTAATTTCAATTTTATTTTGTGATAAGATTGCCTGAATTAAAATAATGAATGGAGAAAAAAATTAAGACTTTGAAATCTCTTAATTCGATTGCAAATTTTCAGAAAAAGTCAAAAAATTTATCATCTTTTTAAAATTAAATCATAAATTTTATTAGTTTAGAATACGACTACTTTTATACATTCAAGCATAATGTGAAAATATTTTACTTTTTATTAAAAGATTAATTAACATCACCTTTTATATTATATATTAATAAATAGTGCCGAATTTGTTAATTATTCTTTTGGATTAATTTAGAAATATCATAAGTATAAATCTAAAAACATCTATCAATTTTTAATATTTTTAATTTCTAAAATTAAATATTTAGTTTAAGTTTTATTTTGTTTATTCAATATAAGACTACCTTATATATTAGTTGCAGCAATAGTTATTCAAAACTAAAATTTGCATATTGGAATTTTAGGAGATAAATTTAGATTTTTTATATCAACTTATGTTTTGTTTAAGTAATATTGGTAAATCTAGGCACATTATTTGTAATTAAATAAAATTAATATTTATTTATATTTAATAAGGATAGTCAGACTGATTGAATATAATAAATTATATATAATGAATAGGATTTAAGTGAATTTCTTGATTTTATAAAGTAATTTTAGTAAAATCATTTAAATAGCCATAATATTGAATTATTGATAGAAGGACTCATTTTAAGATGATATAAAGATTTAAAGTTCAAAAATAAAGGCTCCATGCGGTTTCAAGACAAAATTTATTATAGTCTATTTATATTACTTATTGGGATTGATTTTTAATAATACAATATGTAATTTTTTTCAAAATTAACATAATATTTTATCACTATTGGATCAAACACGGAAAGAAGAGTGATGTATATTGATTATGGCAATATGACGATGATTATTTATTACTTTATTTAACTTATTGGATATATATACAGCCAATTTGAAAGCAAATCGATTAAATATTATGAAAATGACTATTTAGCCTAAATTAGTTAGTTATCATCAATTCCTTTTATGCTAATTATCATACATTATGATCCATTAACTATTTTTGCTTATTACAGTGTATTTATTACCATAAGTGCTATTTTTCTAATTTCCTTACTATAAATATTGTTGAAGGTATCATAACTAATAATCAATAGCCACTACATTTCAATTCCCCAATTAATAAATTCATCAAATTTTACTTTCAGAATTTTTAATGGTTTTTTTTGACTCCATTTAATGAATGCATGGTTGGAGTAATCACTTGTGGAAGATAATCATATCTAGCTCAACATTCAATAATTAAGCCCTCTGAATGCTTTTCGACTATATCCCCCCATTATTTGATAATTAGTTTTACTGGAATGATAATGATTTCATTTTCAGGAATTCTTTCTGTATATTGTTTTAGAAACTATGAATTTTTATAAAGAGGATTGTTAAGAAAATTCTCAAGCTTAAATTTTGTAACAATCTTTTTGCATTAGCTACTAATAATTTTATCATTTTGGAAATTGATGTACTCCGATTATTATATTATTATTCATGCTTGCTATAATTTGATTATGTTGTGTATTTTAATTGATTTAGTGACTAATATTCCTTTTGGATTCACAAATGAAACAGTATTCTACTCAAAAATATTATTCAGTTCTTTATTTTTTGGAATTTTGATAACTATATGGATTTTTACGAACAAAGATGATGGCATAATATTCTTAACATACTCCATTTTTTTACCAGTAAATTATAATAATTTTATAGATAATTTTTGCAGCTAATTCTGCTGTTTTTAGTAATTATTTTGAATAATAGAGTTTGAAATTTTGTGAATTTATCAATTATCCTTTAAGTGAATAGCCCTTAGAATATTTACTCTTGCTCTCTCACCCTTTAACAATGACACAAACTAGTATTTGCTAAGCTTTAAAGTATTTAAATATTCATTGTAATAATTGTGAAGATTTAAAATGTCCATGCAATTAAGACTTATCTAAATTTGTTTTATCGAATGGGCCTTTTGATAATGAGAAACTTTATATATGGATACAATATTAATTTTAAAAATTAATAAAAATATCAATGAGAAAGTAGTATTCAATGGAAAATTTTGAATAATTAACAATAAAGTTTTCTACATTTTTGTAAAAATATCGAGAAAATTCATATTTATCTTATAAAAGCATTTAGGATATTGTTATAAATTTTAATAGAACTTAAAAGAATAATAAATAATATCCTTTATTTTTTATGAATTTAACTAAAAAAATTTAATCTGATACAAAAAAGGAATTAGAACAATTAAATCGTTCTAAATTTATGGTTACAAAAATGGAATTTAAAACATTAACAGATTTAAATTTATTCTTTTTTTATGAAAATGATTTGATGATAAATATTAAATAATAAGTANATTTAGCCTAAATTAGTTAGTTATCATCAATTCCTTTTATGCTAATTATCATACATTATGATCCATTAACTATTTTTGCTTATTACAGTGTATTTATTACCATAAGTGCTATTTTTCTAATTTCCTTACTATAAATATTGTTGAAGGTATCATAACTAATAATCAATAGCCACTACATTTCAATTCCCCAATTAATAAATTCATCAAATTTTACTTTCAGAATTTTTAATGGTTTTTTTTGACTCCATTTAATGAATGCATGGTTGGAGTAATCACTTGTGGAAGATAATCATATCTAGCTCAACATTCAATAATTAAGCCCTCTGAATGCTTTTCGACTATATCCCCCCATTATTTGATAATTAGTTTTACTGGAATGATAATGATTTCATTTTCAGGAATTCTTTCTGTATATTGTTTTAGAAACTATGAATTTTTATAAAGAGGATTGTTAAGAAAATTCTCAAGCTTAAATTTTGTAACAATCTTTTTGCATTAGCTACTAATAATTTTATCATTTTGGAAATTGATGTACTCCGATTATTATATTATTATTCATGCTTGCTATAATTTGATTATGTTGTGTATTTTAATTGATTTAGTGACTAATATTCCTTTTGGATTCACAAATGAAACAGTATTCTACTCAAAAATATTATTCAGTTCTTTATTTTTTGGAATTTTGATAACTATATGGATTTTTACGAACAAAGATGATGGCATAATATTCTTAACATACTCCATTTTTTTACCAGTAAATTATAATAATTTTATAGATAATTTTTGCAGCTAATTCTGCTGTTTTTAGTAATTATTTTGAATAATAGAGTTTGAAATTTTGTGAATTTATCAATTATCCTTTAAGTGAATAGCCCTTAGAATATTTACTCTTGCTCTCTCACCCTTTAACAATGACACAAACTAGTATTTGCTAAGCTTTAAAGTATTTAAATATTCATTGTAATAATTGTGAAGATTTAAAATGTCCATGCAATTAAGACTTATCTAAATTTGTTTTATCGAATGGGCCTTTTGATAATGAGAAACTTTATATATGGATACAATATTAATTTTAAAAATTAATAAAAATATCAATGAGAAAGTAGTATTCAATGGAAAATTTTGAATAATTAACAATAAAGTTTTCTACATTTTTGTAAAAATATCGAGAAAATTCATATTTATCTTATAAAAGCATTTAGGATATTGTTATAAATTTTAATAGAACTTAAAAGAATAATAAATAATATCCTTTATTTTTTATGAATTTAACTAAAAAAATTTAATCTGATACAAAAAAGGAATTAGAACAATTAAATCGTTCTAAATTTATGGTTACAAAAATGGAATTTAAAACATTAACAGATTTAAATTTATTCTTTTTTTATGAAAATGATTTGATGATAAATATTAAATAATAAGTATATTATTGTAAAGAATTTTGGATACAGTATCAAAATGGTACTCTTAAAGATTTTAATGCTTTACTTATATAATCTAAGAAAATATTAAATTAAATAGAGAAAGTTTAATAAATTTATAGAATTTTCTAATAAAAAAGAGAAGATTCAGAATATGAAAATATTTTAACTTTTAGAATTAATTTATTAATATCTATAAGTTGTTTAGATGATTTAAATACTTAATTAAAAATAGCTGATAAATTATAAGCTATTTAAAAAGAATCATTATTTACATCAAAATAATAATTTCATATATTAAAATATATTAATAGTGAAGCTATTTCTGTAGCATCTTTGATATCTTTTTAATCATTTGGTATGATTGATTTAAAGATATCAAATAATTTTATATCATTTTTTGGATATGATCATAATGATTAAATAACATAAATTGATTAATTATTACCAATATAAATAGGATAAATTCATGATGGATTGGTTGAAAAATTTTTAATGGTAGGATAAAGTTCTAAAATATATAATACTCAAGAATCTTTTATAAAAAATAAAGATAATTTTATTGAAAATATTACAATGTGTTTAACTATCTCATTACCATTATAAGCTGATATTCATTATTTTTTCATTCTATCACATTTATTAAAATAACATACTTTAGAAAAAAAAAATCAAGATATTTATGAAAAAGGGTATTTATTAGTTGATGTTAACTTTTATGTTTTTGGAATAAGTGAAAATATTTTTAAAAAGATTACTTAATTTTCATAAAATGATATAATCAATTTAGATTAAATTTAATAAAAATTGACATTATTTTAATTGATTCCTGATCTTTTTTCAAAAATGCAAGAATACTATAAAATAAAATAGCTTTAAAATTCAAATCTAGCAAATCATGAAGTATTGTTTTATAAACATGGTGGATCATTTCATATTCCAAATAAATAATTTATAGATAATTATTAATAGAAAACAAAAAATAAGAATATTAATAATATATTAACTAATAAAATAATTAATAATAATCTAATTGAAATTGAAAAATCATCTAATTTTTCAAATATCAGTTAATGTTAATTTTCTATAGAATATTCTGTTGTTTAGAATTTATTAAATCCTCTAATAAATGGAATTATGTCTGATTTTTTATATTACAAAATAGAAATTGAATTTCAAGATGATTCAAATAATAGTAAATCAACATTTCAAATTTTGCCATCTTATTAAGATATCAAAAAAGAATAAATTAATTCTAAAAATAAATCTCCAAATTAAAGTTAAGTTATGTTACAATCATATGAATCAGAAGATGATGGATTTTTAAATTACCAATAAGTGATTGCGTCATCCACAACAACATAAAGGAACAACAAAAATGACCTTTTTTATTAAGCAAATCTCTTGAACAATTTAATAAGTGATAAAAAAATACCTAAACCAATTCTAAGTTTGATTCTGCTTTTCATCAGCTAAATTTTCATGCTTCTTACTTTGATTACTTTTATTGCTATGTTCTTTTCCTAAAAGTCAATTTTACAATCTAATTGCGTTAGAATAGCTACAATAGATTTAGACTTTTTAGATGGTTATTCTTAAATGATGTCAGGGTCTAGACATGTAATTTATTTTCGTGATTTTTATTAAAATATTTCTGATTAAAAGTTGATGATTGATAAGAATGATATAGAATTTAGTCTTAATAATAAATTATTAATATCTTGGAATCATATTAATCTTGGGATTACAAGATTAATTAATATTTATAAAATACATAGTCAAACCTTAAATTAAGGTTCTGAAGATGATTTAAACATTTCAATTATTAATAGTGATTTAAAAAGTAAAATTGTTTAATAAGTTAAAGATTAATCTACTTATTATTAATTAATGTTTTAAATATTTTTTATGTCAAAATAAACATTCACTTAAAATTTGTCAAACTTTTTATAAAATTCTACTGATCCTTATACTACTTAAATTAGTAGATCTTTAGTTTATTATAATTATTTTGATGTAAGTTAATTAGTTTAAGCAAAGTTAGAATCTTGCAAAAGTTATAATTATTATATTAATGAATATATTGATAGGATAACATCATATTTCTTTATAGGTTTGTACTTAACAATTTCATTAATTGCTATTATTTAATTTATTTTTTATTTTTAAATAAAAAGATAAATTAGTTTTTATTTAAAATTGTTTATTTAAATAGATGGTTAAGATTCAAATAAATGTATATAAAAATTTGATAATATTTATAAAATCTTAAATAATTAATCAATTGTTTTAAGTAAGAAAAATTATGAGAAAATTATAGCTCAACCATCTGTTTAATATGATAATCTTAGAACTTTAAATTGTAATAATTAATTAAATTTTATTCAACCTTAAAAGTCTAAAGAAAAGTAAATTAGAATTGATAATCATATTTCTTATTTTTATCATATATTTGCTCTAGTTTTAATATTCTTAATACCTATTGTATATGCATTAGCTTACTAATTATATTATAACTTGATTTCAGTTAATGTTACTCCAATAAATGATTAAGCTATTTAAGCATAATAAATGAGATTAAAATTTATAACAACTATCAATAGATATGATTAATTTTTAATCAAATCTTATTTTGAATCTTATTGTAAATTATCATAATTAAATTCTTCATTTAAATGTTTTGCCAATAATATTTATTCAGACAATCAAATTTTATAATAATTAGATATGAATGAAACAATAATTTAAGAAGAATTAACTACTTTTTAATAATTAGATTTTTCTAATTTTTTCTTTAATTCAATAAATTCAAATTAATTTAATTCATAAGAAAAATAATCTATTTTGTCTAAAGATACATGTTTATTAACAAATTGTGATATGAAGAAAGATTTATTTTAAGAAAGATTATTTTAAGAAAATCTAAATTCTTATTTCTTTTAAGGAATAATTAAACTTCATCAAATTGTTTCCTCACTCTATATTTAATTTGATTTAATATACAAAGGTCTTAATACAACTGAAGCAAAACTACTTGCAATTGAAAATATTATGCAAGATAATGATTATTTAATATATATCCTCTGGGGATTGGATGCCATTTAATATCAAATTGCATAATTTTCTCAATATTTTGTTAATACTTCATTGACAATATTGGAGGACTTTACATCAAACCTTTTGATCAATGTTTTATAAAGTGGGATTGGGATGTTATTGATGATAGTGACAATTTAAATTCTTTTCATTAAGGTCTAAGTGAAGAGATAGATAATTGCAAAATAATTATTCAAAATTGTTCCTTTGTAAATCATTTTTTAGAAAAATATTCAAAGATAATTAACCATTTTTTAAAGAAAAATATATAAATGATTATATAAATATTTTGCTATATGTAAATATCAATAATTTATTTAAATTTTAATTTGGTTATGGAATTAACCTAAATCGACATCTCATAGCTTTTTTAATAATTTTACTTTTTAGCTATACTAAAAATCTTACTCTTATATACAAATAAATAAACTTCATTTAGAATATCTTTACTAAATATAATTGCTTATTAAATAACTGCATTTCACTTATAGAGCTCAAAGAATATTAATTTTTAAAGAGGTCACGCTTTAAAAACTCTATGTTTATCTTATTACATCAAATACATTAATTACGATATCATAATGAAAGGACAAAAGAAGCTAAAAGCATGTAGACAAGATGCTGAGGATAGTTTAAAAAAAAAATAGGAAACATAGGAATTTTAGGGGTATTAGGATAGGAAGATTTATTTGCTTATCAAGTTGTAAGAAAGAATATAAACACTAGTCTTATAAAGAGTTTAGAATAGTTCTAAAAAAAAATAGTCAAAATAATAAAGAAAAAATATGAATTTAAAAACTTTAAACAAACTATTAATGAACATTATAAATGATGAAAACTCATTTTTATCAATCGACAATATATAATATTTATCAAAATATTAAAAATGAAAAAAATAATAACGAGAATGAAATTGAATTGATTTCGATGTTAATGAAACTTATTATATAAATGTGCAAAACAATTTCATAGATCTCGTTTATTTATTAATTTATTTTTTTTAATAATTAAAAAGAAGCATTAATTTTTCAATAGAATTTTTAATAGTTAATATATTCTATATATATTAATTATTGTATATAATATAGAAAATATTCTAAATCAATTATATTTTTTTTTTTTTTAATAATTTGATAATTCTTAATGAATCTTTTTATTAAATATTACTGAAATAGGAATAAGTCTGATTAGGTTTGATGAAAACCTCTAATTTTTTATTTGTTTCCGTATAATAGAAAATTATATTAGTAAAAGTGTCAAAGTACATAAAATACCAGTTAAAAGTATTATGCGCTAAATAATTGTTATAGCATCCTCCAATATTGTCAATGAAGTATTAACAAAATATTGAGAAAATTATGCAATTTGATATTAAATGGCATCCAATCCCCAGAGGATATATATTAAATAATCATTATCTTGCATAATATTTTCAATTGCAAGTAGTTTTGCTTCAGTTGTATTAAGACCTTTGTATATTAAATCAAATTAAATATAGAGTGAGGAAACAATTTGATGAAGTTTAATTATTCCTTAAAAGAAATAAGAATTTAGATTTTCTTAAAATAATCTTTCTTAAAATAAATCTTTCTTCATATCACAATTTGTTAATAAACATGTATCTTTAGACAAAATAGATTATTTTTCTTATGAATTAAATTAATTTGAATTTATTGAATTAAAGAAAAAATTAGAAAAATCTAATTATTAAAAAGTAGTTAATTCTTCTTAAATTATTGTTTCATTCATATCTAATTATTATAAAATTTGATTGTCTGAATAAATATTATTGGCAAAACATTTAAATGAAGAATTTAATTATGATAATTTACAATAAGATTCAAAATAAGATTTGATTAAAAATTAATCATATCTATTGATAGTTGTTATAAATTTTAATCTCATTTATTATGCTTAAATAGCTTAATCATTTATTGGAGTAACATTAACTGAAATCAAGTTATAATATAATTAGTAAGCTAATGCATATACAATAGGTATTAAGAATATTAAAACTAGAGCAAATATATGATAAAAATAAGAAATATGATTATCAATTCTAATTTACTTTTCTTTAGACTTTTAAGGTTGAATAAAATTTAATTAATTATTACAATTTAAAGTTCTAAGATTATCATATTAAACAGATGGTTGAGCTATAATTTTCTCATAATTTTTCTTACTTAAAACAATTGATTAATTATTTAAGATTTTATAAATATTATCAAATTTTTATATACATTTATTTGAATCTTAACCATCTATTTAAATAAACAATTTTAAATAAAAACTAATTTATCTTTTTATTTAAAAATAAAAAATAAATTAAATAATAGCAATTAATGAAATTGTTAAGTACAAACCTATAAAGAAATATGATGTTATCCTATCAATATATTCATTAATATAATAATTATAACTTTTGCAAGATTCTAACTTTGCTTAAACTAATTAACTTACATCAAAATAATTATAATAAACTAAAGATCTACTAATTTAAGTAGTATAAGGATCAGTAGAATTTTATAAAAAGTTTGACAAATTTTAAGTGAATGTTTATTTTGACATAAAAAATATTTAAAACATTAATTAATAATAAGTAGATTAATCTTTAACTTATTAAACAATTTTACTTTTTAAATCACTATTAATAATTGAAATGTTTAAATCATCTTCAGAACCTTAATTTAAGGTTTGACTATGTATTTTATAAATATTAATTAATCTTGTAATCCCAAGATTAATATGATTCCAAGATATTAATAATTTATTATTAAGACTAAATTCTATATCATTCTTATCAATCATCAACTTTTAATCAGAAATATTTTAATAAAAATCACGAAAATAAATTACATGTCTAGACCCTGACATCATTTAAGAATAACCATCTAAAAAGTCTAAATCTATTACTTTACATCAAACCTTTTGATCAATGTTTTATAAAGTGGGATTGGGATGTTATTGATGATAGTGACAATTTAAATTCTTTTCATTAAGGTCTAAGTGAAGAGATAGATAATTGCAAAATAATTATTCAAAATTGTTCCTTTGTAAATCATTTTTTAGAAAAATATTCAAAGATAATTAACCATTTTTTAAAGAAAAATATATAAATGATTATATAAATATTTTGCTATATGTAAATATCAATAATTTATTTAAATTTTAATTTGGTTATGGAATTAACCTAAATCGACATCTCATAGCTTTTTTAATAATTTTACTTTTTAGCTATACTAAAAATCTTACTCTTATATACAAATAAATAAACTTCATTTAGAATATCTTTACTAAATATAATTGCTTATTAAATAACTGCATTTCACTTATAGAGCTCAAAGAATATTAATTTTTAAAGAGGTCACGCTTTAAAAACTCTATGTTTATCTTATTACATCAAATACATTAATTACGATATCATAATGAAAGGACAAAAGAAGCTAAAAGCATGTAGACAAGATGCTGAGGATAGTTTAAAAAAAAAATAGGAAACATAGGAATTTTAGGGGTATTAGGATAGGAAGATTTATTTGCTTATCAAGTTGTAAGAAAGAATATAAACACTAGTCTTATAAAGAGTTTAGAATAGTTCTAAAAAAAAATAGTCAAAATAATAAAGAAAAAATATGAATTTAAAAACTTTAAACAAACTATTAATGAACATTATAAATGATGAAAACTCATTTTTATCAATCGACAATATATAATATTTATCAAAATATTAAAAATGAAAAAAATAATAACGAGAATGAAATTGAATTGATTTCGATGTTAATGAAACTTATTATATAAATGTGCAAAACAATTTCATAGATCTCGTTTATTTATTAATTTATTTTTTTTAATAATTAAAAAGAAGCATTAATTTTTCAATAGAATTTTTAATAGTTAATATATTCTATATATATTAATTATTGTATATAATATAGAAAATATTCTAAATCAATTATATTTTTTTTTTTTTTAATAATTTGATAATTCTTAATGAATCTTTTTATTAAATATTACTGAAATAGGAATAAGTCTGATTAGGTTTGATGAAAACCTCTAATTTTTTATTTGTTTCCGTATAATAGAAAATTATATTAGTAAAAGTGTCAAAGTACATAAAATACCAGTTAAAAGTATTATGCGCTAAATAATTGTTATAGCATCCTCCAATATTGTCAATGAAGTATTAACAAAATATTGAGAAAATTATGCAATTTGATATTAAATGGCATCCAATCCCCAGAGGATATATATTAAATAATCATTATCTTGCATAATATTTTCAATTGCAAGTAGTTTTGCTTCAGTTGTATTAAGACCTTTGTATATTAAATCAAATTAAATATAGAGTGAGGAAACAATTTGATGAAGTTTAATTATTCCTTAAAAGAAATAAGAATTTAGATTTTCTTAAAATAATCTTTCTTAAAATAAATCTTTCTTCATATCACAATTTGTTAATAAACATGTATCTTTAGACAAAATAGATTATTTTTCTTATGAATTAAATTAATTTGAATTTATTGAATTAAAGAAAAAATTAGAAAAATCTAATTATTAAAAAGTAGTTAATTCTTCTTAAATTATTGTTTCATTCATATCTAATTATTATAAAATTTGATTGTCTGAATAAATATTATTGGCAAAACATTTAAATGAAGAATTTAATTATGATAATTTACAATAAGATTCAAAATAAGATTTGATTAAAAATTAATCATATCTATTGATAGTTGTTATAAATTTTAATCTCATTTATTATGCTTAAATAGCTTAATCATTTATTGGAGTAACATTAACTGAAATCAAGTTATAATATAATTAGTAAGCTAATGCATATACAATAGGTATTAAGAATATTAAAACTAGAGCAAATATATGATAAAAATAAGAAATATGATTATCAATTCTAATTTACTTTTCTTTAGACTTTTAAGGTTGAATAAAATTTAATTAATTATTACAATTTAAAGTTCTAAGATTATCATATTAAACAGATGGTTGAGCTATAATTTTCTCATAATTTTTCTTACTTAAAACAATTGATTAATTATTTAAGATTTTATAAATATTATCAAATTTTTATATACATTTATTTGAATCTTAACCATCTATTTAAATAAACAATTTTAAATAAAAACTAATTTATCTTTTTATTTAAAAATAAAAAATAAATTAAATAATAGCAATTAATGAAATTGTTAAGTACAAACCTATAAAGAAATATGATGTTATCCTATCAATATATTCATTAATATAATAATTATAACTTTTGCAAGATTCTAACTTTGCTTAAACTAATTAACTTACATCAAAATAATTATAATAAACTAAAGATCTACTAATTTAAGTAGTATAAGGATCAGTAGAATTTTATAAAAAGTTTGACAAATTTTAAGTGAATGTTTATTTTGACATAAAAAATATTTAAAACATTAATTAATAATAAGTAGATTAATCTTTAACTTATTAAACAATTTTACTTTTTAAATCACTATTAATAATTGAAATGTTTAAATCATCTTCAGAACCTTAATTTAAGGTTTGACTATGTATTTTATAAATATTAATTAATCTTGTAATCCCAAGATTAATATGATTCCAAGATATTAATAATTTATTATTAAGACTAAATTCTATATCATTCTTATCAATCATCAACTTTTAATCAGAAATATTTTAATAAAAATCACGAAAATAAATTACATGTCTAGACCCTGACATCATTTAAGAATAACCATCTAAAAAGTCTAAATCTATTGTATCTATTCTAACGCAATTAGATTGTAAAATTGACTTTTAGGAAAAGAACATAGCAATAAAAGTAATCAAAGTAAGAAGCATGAAAATTTAGCTGATGAAAAGCAGAATCAAACTTAGAATTGGTTTAGGTATTTTTTTATCACTTATTAAATTGTTCAAGAGATTTGCTTAATAAAAAAGGTCATTTTTGTTGTTCCTTTATGTTGTTGTGGATGACGCAATCACTTATTGGTAATTTAAAAATCCATCATCTTCTGATTCATATGATTGTAACATAACTTAACTTTAATTTGGAGATTTATTTTTAGAATTAATTTATTCTTTTTTGATATCTTAATAAGATGGCAAAATTTGAAATGTTGATTTACTATTATTTGAATCATCTTGAAATTCAATTTCTATTTTGTAATATAAAAAATCAGACATAATTCCATTTATTAGAGGATTTAATAAATTCTAAACAACAGAATATTCTATAGAAAATTAACATTAACTGGTATTTGAAAAATTAGATGATTTTTCAATTTCAATTAGATTATTATTAATTATTTTATTAGTTAATATATTATTAATATTCTTATTTTTTGTTTTCTATTAATAATTATCTATAAATTATTTATTTGGAATATGAAATGATCCACCATGTTTATAAAACAATACTTCATGATTTGCTAGATTTGAATTTTAAAGCTATTTTATTTTATAGTATTCTTGCATTTTTGAAAAAAGATCAGGAATCAATTAAAATAATGTCAATTTTTATTAAATTTAATCTAAATTGATTATATCATTTTATGAAAATTAAGTAATCTTTTTAAAAATATTTTCACTTATTCCAAAAACATAAAAGTTAACATCAACTAATAAATACCCTTTTTCATAAATATCTTGATTTTTTTTTTCTAAAGTATGTTATTTTAATAAATGTGATAGAATGAAAAAATAATGAATATCAGCTTATAATGGTAATGAGATAGTTAAACACATTGTAATATTTTCAATAAAATTATCTTTATTTTTTATAAAAGATTCTTGAGTATTATATATTTTAGAACTTTATCCTACCATTAAAAATTTTTCTACTAATCCATCATGAATTTGTCCTAGTTATATTGGTAATAATTAATCAATTTATGTTATTTAATCATCATGATCATATCCAAAAAATGATATAAAATTATTTGATATCTTTAAATCAATCATACCAAATGATTAAAAAGATATCAAAGATGCTACAGAAATAGCTTCACTATTAATATATTTTAATATATGAAATTATTATTTTGATGTAAATAATGATTCTTTTTAAATAGCTTATAATTTATCAGCTATTTTTAATTAAGTATTTAAATCATCTAAACAACTTATAGATATTAATAAATTAATTCTAAAAGTTAAAATATTTTCATATTCTGAATCTTCTCTTTTTTATTAGAAAATTCTATAAATTTATTAAACTTTCTCTATTTAATTTAATATTTTCTTAGATTATAAAAGTAAAGAATTAAAATCTTTAAGACTACCATTTTGATACTGCATCCAAAATTCTTTACAATAATATACTTATTATTTAATATTTATCATCAAATCATTTTCATAAAAAAAGAATAAATTTAAATCTGTTAATGTTTTAAATTCCATTTTTGTAACCATAAATTTAGAACGATTTAATTGTTCTAATTCCTTTTTTGTATCAGATTAAATTTTTTTAGTTAAATTCATAAAAAATAAAGGATATTATTTATTATTCTTTTAAGTTCTATTAAAATTTATAACAATATCCTAAATGCTTTTATAAGATAAATATGAATTTTCTCGATATTTTTACAAAAATGTAGAAAACTTTATTGTTAATTATTCAAAATTTTCCATTGAATACTACTTTCTCATTGATATTTTTATTAATTTTTAAAATTAATATTGTATCCATATATAAAAGATTTCATAATCTAAATAGCCATTTTATAAAGTAAAATTTGATAAATCCTAAGAGCATGGACAAAAAATATCTTTACAGTGATTACAATGAACACTAAGGAATTTAAAAAATTAAAAATAATTAATTCTGTTGATGGTTAATGTTGTCGAGAGCATAACTAAATATTCTAAAGGTTATTCAT